CTTAGCTTCCGTCCTTTCAGCCTGAATCTCCAAAGCTCGACATAGAGAGTTGCGGTGCTCCGGACATATTCCGCACGGACACATCCTAATGGGATTAGCCCGCCGCCCGGCCACAGAGGGATCTGAACGATAAGAGGCATTTGTTTACTCCAGGTCCATCCCATCCCCAGTCAAAGACATACAGTACCCCGACTACCCATGCTAGTCGACTACCATCCTGGTCCATCTCAGCCCAGTGGCAGGGTGGAGGGCTGGCTTCACTAATTCGACTTTTGTATGGATTAAATATGAATCCTTTTTTCGCAGTCAGGCAGCGCTTAGTCTCAGCGCATCTATCAGGCTGGATAGAGAGGAGAGCAGAGGAGGGGAGAGCAGAGGGGGGAGAGCAGAGGAGAGGAGAGCAGAGGAGGGGAGAGCGGAGGAGGGGAGAGCAGAGGAGGGGAGAGCAGATGAGGGGAGAGCAGAGGAGGGGAGAGCAGAGGAGGGGAGAGCAGAGGAGGGGCGAGCAGAGGAGAGGAGAGCTGAGGAGAGGAGGGCAGAGTGAAAGGCTATGATTAACATCAAGCCAACAGGCAACTTCTTATCCTACTAGACTTATTTTGCTCATATTCTTAACTTTCTCTCTGGAAACTGTTAGTGAATGATGCTCACATACCATGCATTAAATACACTTTCTTTAGCTATTCATACTTTAACATAGGAACATGCAGTATGCATGGATGAACAGACGACTGTGGTGTGTGGAGGCACTACCCCCCAAACAAGTGTAAAGGACACACTTGGAGAGAGATACAGTGTACTGCATATACGCACACACACATGCACACATAGGCACACACACGCATACATACACACAGGTACACATTATCACACGGCCCATGCGCACAAAAACACACACAAAAGCAGTGATTCATTATTTACATAATCATTTATTAATGAGAGGAAGAGAGCAGAGGGTCGTCTTTGTGACTTTGAGAGTCTTCTCCTCTAACTAATTTCACTGTATTCATGCAGAAATGTTGAGCATGGCCCGCGGGTGACTAGCTTGGAGGACAAGGGGAGGCGATGATTGTGAGGTTCGAGAGATGCAGTTTGTGTGCAAATCAGAGTTTTCAAGTTTTAATGTCACATGCACAAGTACAGTGAAATGCCTTTCTTGCAAGCTCTAAACCCAATAATGCAGTAATCAATATCAATGTAGTACTAAAAATAACATAAGGTAGAACAAAAACACACAATAAATAAAAATAAGAAATAAGAAGAACACGAGAAAGTAAGAAGCTATTTACAGAGTCAGTTCCAATACCATATGACAATGTGCAGAGATAGTCAAGGTGCTCTCAGTGGTGCAGCTGTATAACTTTTTGAGGATTTGAGGGCCCATGACAAACCCTTTTAACTTCCTGATTGAGAAGAGGGGCCTTCTTCACGACTGTGCGTGTGTGTGGACCATTTTAAGTCCTTAGTGATTTGGACCATGAGGAACTTGAAGCTCTCGACCCGCTCCACTGCAGCCCGTCGATGTGGATGGGGGCGTGCTCGCACCCCCGTTTACTGTAGTCCACGATCAGCTCCTTGGTCTTACTGACGTTGAGGGAGAGGTTGTTGTCCTGGCAACACACTGCCAGATCACGGACCTCCTCCCTGCAGGCTGTCTCATCGTCAACGGTGATCAGGCCTATCAACTTTGTGTCGTCAGCAAACTTGATGATGGCGTTGGAGTCGTGCGTGGCCACGCAGTCGTGGGTGAACAGGGAGTACAGGAGGGGACTAAGCACACACCACTGAATGGCCCCCGTGTTGAGGGTCAGCATGGTGGAGGTGATGTTGCCTACCTTTACTAGCTGGGGTTGGTCCGTCAGGAAGTCCAGGATCCAGTAGCAGAGGGAGGTGTTCAGTCCCAGGGTCCTAAGCTTGGTGACGAGCTTGGAGGGGACAATGGTGTTGAACTCTGAGCTGTAGTCAATGAACAGCATTCTCACATAGGTATTCCTCTTATCTAGGTGGGTGAGGGCAGTGTGGAGTGCAATTGAGATTGTGTCATCTATGGATCTGTTGGGTCAGTATGCAAATTAGAGTGGGTCTAGGGTATATGGGATGTTGGAGTTGATGTGTGCCATAACCAGCCTTTCAAAGCACTTCATGATTACAGATGTGAGTGCTACAAGGTGGTAGTCATTGTGGCATGAAGCCTTAGAGTTCTTTGGAACAGGAATGATGGTAGTCTTCTTAAAACATATGGGGATTACAAACTGGGACAAGGAGAGGTTTTATTCAATATATTGTGTTCATTGGATGGGTATGCATTTGTAGAACATATGTTTGTTTGTGCATGTATACTATACTGTAGTACTGTAGTATTCTACTGCCTAGCCGTATCGTAAAATAATTACACATACTGAAGAATTGCCACGCCCCTAGCTGAGCTGGTTTCATGTCACCCAGCACCACCGTGATACATACAGCCAGGTCACCCATGATACAAGTCAGTATTCGACATCCATCCATGTCTGAGGACGTCGGGAGATGATGTGGAAACCGGCCACTAGGGGCAACAGTGAGCGTTGTTACCTTCCAGTAGGTTTGGGTTTTGCTAGGGTGTTGTGGAAGGGGATGGTGGATAGGTGTAAGCATCTTGTATTAAAGGTTGAATGTTCAAATCCAGCGATAGGAAGTTGTTTTTTAGATTTTTGTTTTAAGCCTATCCCAAACCTTATCCCTTACCTTAACCATTCGGAGTTAATGCCTAACCTTAAGATTTCTGAGTTATTGCCTAAACTTAACCCTAACCTTACAAATCAAAACTTAATCTTAAACACTTCGAAATTTGACGTTTGGAACAACTTCTACATTTGTCGTATGAAAAACATGGATTAATGTCTAATTCTGACATGAGACTGTGAGAGCTTGATGGACAGGGAAACAAACAGGGATAGCACCAGGGGCCAGGGGCCAGGGGCCAGCGTAACTATGGTATGGCGCTGCAGGGATAGTTGCCTTGTTTGGACAGGCTGGTGTAGGCATGGGTCCAACAGCAATACGGCCCCCTGCCCGCTCTGAGACCATGTGACCATGTGAGAAATGAGACCATAGAGAGGAGAGGCGCATAGAGCACTATGGGATTCCAGCAGAAAGGGCACACAGGACCCATGGGATGCACTTAACAGGGGGTGATACACACACACACGGAATCACAGTATTGCACATAATGACAAAATGCCAGATATGTGAAATGACTGACAAAATGCCAGATATGTGAATGTTTTGCATGCTAGGCTACTCTGCCACCATATTAGTAGCATGTGAAGGAAAAGTAGGCCAACCACTAACGAAATACAACATAAGTCTAAGTTAATAGGAGATTAATTGCTGACTCATATGCCCAGAATGCTAAAGTGATTGAGAAGCAGTTGGAAAGAAAGGGGATGAGCAAGAAGAGACTCCAAGAGCTGGCTAAACTGGAGGCAAAGACAACCAAGATGAAAGGCACCCTCATTGATAACCAGTTCAAATAGAGGGATGTGGGATGTGAGAGAAGCAGGACAGTTGTACATACTTTTAAAATCAAATGTTCATAGAGAATTGCACTCTATGGCCCCTTGGAAATGTATTATGAAGCATTTTGGCTATGTTTTATATACAGTAACAATTTTCTTATGTTGATTTAAAATTAAATGTGGAGCAGTGACGTACAGTAACGTTATTTTGAGTTTGATTTGTGTATTCAGCTCCTGTGTAGCTCAGTTGGTAGAGCATGGCATTTGCATGCCAGGGTTGTGGGTTCGATTCCCATGGGGAGCCAGTATGAAAATGAATGCACTCACTAACTGTAAGTTGCTCTGGATAAGAGTGTCTGCTAAATGACTAAAATGTAAATTACAGTCTATTATTCATATATGGGCTCCTGAGTGGCGCAGTGGTCTAAGGCACTGCATCGCAGTGCTAGCTGTGCCACTAGAGATCCTGGTTCGAATCCAGGCTCTGTCGTAGCCGGCCGCGACCGGGAGACCCATGGGGCGGCGCACAAGTCGTCCAGGGTAGGGGAGGGAATGGCCGGCAGGGATGTAGCTCAGTTGGTAGAGCATGGCGTTTGCAACGCCAGGGTTGTGGGTTTGATTCCCACGGGGGGGCCAGTATGAAAAAATATATATAATAATGTATGCACTAACTGTAAGTCGCTCTGGATAAGAGCGTCTGCTAAATGACTAAAATGTAAATGTAAATCTCAGTGCTTGAGGTGTCACTACAGACCCGCTGGTTTGATTCCAGGCTGTATCACAACTGGCTGTGATTGGGAGTCCCATAGGGCGGCACACAATTGGCCCAGCATCGTCTGGGTTTGGCTGGTGTAAATAAGAATTTGTTCTTAACTGACTTGCCTAGTTAAATAAAGGTAAAATAAAAAAATACTGGACTAGCACATGCATAACTCATGTACAGTACATATAACCATACACACACAGGCCTCTGTGAATAGAACAGATCTATAATTCACCTACAAGTCATCTGGAGGCTGTCCTTGACTTTTAACTTTGAAGGTTCTTATGCTCACGTTCAACAATGAATGCTAAGTACACACACATACACATACTTATAACAACCTCCACATACATAATACCCCTTATAGCTAATTCTGTGTTTCTCCAACACATCAAAAGACTCTCAATAAACAAAGACATAGGTGCTGGAAAGAATAATACATGCACTATTCATTCTTGCCTGCCATGGTTTGTGCCCTATATGCTTACACTGACTGAAGCACTGACAATTGCTGGAATTTGCATGAAATACAACGTTTGGTATGCACATTGCACTATTGAGATAGGCTTCTTCAGCAAAGCCTTTTTACGTAGTGGAGCCACTGTGATTGTAGCAATCTCAGAGCCAGCTATACTCCCGAACCGAGGGGGAGAGAATAAATCTGACAGAGAGACAGAGTTATAGAGGTGGAGAGAGAGAGTGTAGGAAAGAGCAGAACGGATGGAGGAAGAGAGTACAAAATGGAGAACAGGATGTAGGAAAAAGGAGACGAGGGAGAGAGGAAGTACAGAGGACAGAGAGAAAGGCTCTTGGTTGGTTGAAACGCGACACTCATGCAATGACTGCTGCATCAACGTCCTTCCTGGCTGATCATGTCAGGTCATGGCTTTGGCTGATGATGGGACTCTGATATTGATTGGAGAAAAAGCCTGATTCAGAGCTGAGGAAGTTGGAGGAGGATGCCCTCATTGACTCAGGGCTGGGAGGGCTGGGCCGTATCCCTGATGGGGCGTTTTCTTTTAGATCAGAAATATAGGTGAACCAAACCTGCCAAACCAGACTTACAGTAGCTATCACAATGGAAAAATCAAACACACACAGACGCGGTGTCACTTTGTGTGTGAAATGGGCCCCACACGTGTTCGTATCTGGGCCTGAAGTGCTTTGTTGTTGAGTCACCCTATAGCTGAAATTTCCTCTGAGCAAAAGCAGCACAATCCAATCAACACACCAGCACGCCTACTAATTAATGTTCTTTCAGTTCATCATTAATTATCTCCCCCCTTCCCTCCCTCCCATCCCTCCCTCCCCCTCTCTCTTTCCCTCCCTCCCTCCCTCTCTCTGTATATATTGTATATGGTCTTCTCTAAATAAAGGAAGGTTGTATTAATTGATAAATTGATCTAATTAAGGAGCTAGTGAACACAGATGTTCTCCTCTTTTCTCCAGGCCTTTGTCAATATGGATTTAATTAATTAACAATTCCCCTCCCCTTGTCGTGCCTCAGCGGACTGTGGGACCATGGGTGTGTGTGTGTGTGTGTGCGTACGTCAGTGGAGGCTGCTGAGGGGAGGACAGCTCATAATAATGGCTGGAATGGAGCCTTTGGAATGGCATCAAACACATGGAAACCATGTGTTTGATGTATTTGATACCATTCCACTTATTCCACTCCAGCCATTACCATGAGCCCGTCCTCCCCAATTAAGGTGCCACCAACCTCCTGTGGCGTACGTGTGCTTGTGCGTGTGTGTGGAGAGGAGAGGCTGGGGGAAAGAAAGGAAGAGCTGTGTTTTATTTCATCAAACAGTTTAAACCCATTGGGCAAAAATTGGTTCAATCTACGTTGTTTCCACACCATTCAAAACGAATGTGGAAAACTGATTGGATTTGAAAAAGTCAGCAACTTAAGGGAATTTTGTCTTTTTTCACCCAACTTTTAACCTAAATCCAATGACATGGAGAAATGTTTTGTTGATTTCACTTTGAATTCAAGTTCATTGACAACTCAACCAAAATTAAATCAAAACTAGACGTTGAAATGACGTCTGTGCCCAGTGGCAAGTGAGTGTTCCTCTGTGACGTGTCTTAGCCAAAAGCTCTGTCTGACAGGCAGACAGTTTCCTGTCAAGAGTATTACATTTGGAGCGGATGTCAAGAGGAGCTCAGAGGAATGCATTTTTATCAGACAGAGAGAGAGAAAGAGAAGGAGAAGGTTTTTTCTCCTCTTCTTTTCATGAGATTAGTGAAATTTTGTTTCTTAATCCCGAGGCTTTTTTGCCGAAGCAAGGAGCTTCAGTTTGATCTTGTGATAAAGCACAGATAGAGATAAGGAAGTATGATAGTCCCATGTAGCTCAGTTGGTAGAGCATGGCGTTCGCAACGCCAGGGTTGTGGGTTCGATTCCCACGGGGGGCTAGTATGAAAAAATAAATAAAAATTATGCACTCACTAACTGTAAGTCGCTCTGGATAAGAGCGTCTGCTAAATGACTAAAATGTAAATGTAATGATACTCCTCGGTTTAGACGATAGGGTGATTAACAACACACAGCAATGATGGGATGTCATACTTCCCAGAATGCTTTACTGTCATTAGTATTCCCAATATAGGCCTACTGTTGGGAGGTATTGTCTGTCCCAAACTACACTTGCTTTCACACACACATTTCATGCACACTTTCTCTTTCACATACAAATGTCCCCTCTTTCACAGTGCCAAAGAAAAGCTTATTCCTCCAGACCTGGAGCAGAACAGCATCTTATTTTCTTTTTCTCTCAGCCTGTTATGTCAGGAGTTATATTTCCCAATGCGTCTTAAGAACTGAGCTGTCATGGAGTGAGCTGGGAGAGGATTGCAGTACTCCTATAGTTCGGATTAACACTGCTGGAATCTCTACCGCCAGTAGGGGGGAAGGGCCTGGCTGGGGACTGGGTTGGTTCCTGACTCTCAGTAACTCAGTAGCCATCACACACCACAGAGAGAATACTATACACCAGGTGTGCCCAACCTTCTTTGGCGTGAGATCCACTTTTTCATTTGCCAGCCTGATGAGATCTACCAGTCTCTAAATCTAAACCTACCAACAAAATGTATGAAACGCAACACACCACTGAGTATGGACCTGCCGATATGATACCCAAATATAATGTGGACCAATAACATGTTTTCCACAAATAAGTGCAACTAATTTCATTTCCTACCTTAGTGTGACTTTTGGCATTGGGTGGAGGCAAGTCGTTTTTCATAGTCAGGGCTGTAGCAGCTTGTTGCAAGTCTCATGCAGGCCATAAGGTGGTCATCAGTCATAGTAGATCTGTACTTGGACTTTATGATCTTCATGTGAGAAAATGCAGACTCACAGAGGTAGGCTGATCCAAAAAGGGCTGATAAGTTAAGAGCACATCTTCTTATGTTGGGATACTTCTCCTCTAGCAGTAGCTCCCAGAACTCTTCCTTCATCTCAGTGGTTGCCCTGGATTTCAGCTGTATGTCATTTTGAAGGGTGAGAATTCAGTTTCTGCTGTAGTTGTGTCCAACTGAAAAAGTGATCCCATTTTGGAGGCAATGACTTCCACATTTATGTCTGTGCCAAACGGAAAGGAGATATAAGCGGCAATAGGCTCAAGTGATGCAAAGTCAGTGAAACAACTGTCAAACTCCGATAAGATGCTCTGGACTTGCTCCACTAACGTGCACTGTCACGCTGTGCTGTATCCTTGCCCTGACGTTCAAGTTCTGAATGCATGTGTTGAAAGAAGTGCAGGTCCTTACGTTGCAGCTTTCTTGTGAGCAGTTGTAGTTTGCATTTAAAAGTGTTCACAGATATGATAATGTCGATTACAAGTTCGCCTTTTCCTTGCAGCTTTACATTCAATTCATTAAGCATGTAAGTTAGGTCAGTGAGAAAAGCTAAATCCAGGAGCCACTGTGTGTCCTCTAGCTGTGTATATTCTGCATGTTTGGAGACCTTGAGAAACTCCTTGATTTCAGGCAACAACTCACTGATTCTCCCTAAAAATTTACCTCGGCTCAGCCACCGCACATCCGTGTGCAACAGCAGGTCTGTCTGCTCCGCTTCAGTCTCTTCTAAGTGAGCGCGAAATAGCCTCCGCTGTAGGCTTCTTGCTCGAATAGAACACACAATCTTCATCGCAACATCACCTCTTTCATGTTTAACATCTTCCCGCACAAATCTTGCTGATGAATTACGCAGTGATTACTAGGAAAGTCCTGGAAATAATCATCTCGTTTGCACAATGCAACGAACCCACTAATGCGGCCTACCATAGCGGGTGCCCCATCAGTAGTAAAACGGCAGTTGGAATTTGTTAGCAAACTCCATAAAAGCTTGAAAAATATCTTCGCCCCTTGTATGTCCTTTCAGTGGCAAAATGGCGAGTAGTTCCTCCTTTGTACTCATGTTGTCAAATACCATTCTGATGAAAATGCATAACTGTGCCACATCTACCATATCTGTGGACTCGTCAAACTAGAAGGAATAACACTCGCAGTTGTCAATATCCTTCTTCAGTTGATCCTCGAGGTTCTCCGCTATTCCCTCACATCTTCTTGTCACCATCTTTCTGGACAACTGAATGTCATTGATGGCAGCCATAATTTCAGTCTTATTCTTAAAATGTCCAAACAGCGAGTCTGCAGCCTCAATAAATGCTTCCTTGATAATCTCCCCATCTTTGAACAACTTTTTATGCTTAGTAAGAACACAACTCACACGATAAGATGCTATGGTTGCCGCCTTCCCTTTGGTCACTGCCTTGTGAAAATTGACTGCTGCGCTGCCAGTAGATGTTTTTGTTCTTGTACCTTTCTTCTTCGTAATTCAGTTTGTGCTGGAAAATCGCTTTCCTGGGTTTTGTGTGTGGTTTTAAAATGTCGTTCTATGTTACATTTCTTTGGGATAGCGATGCTATTATGGCAGATGAGGCACACACATTTTGAGTTTGACATGACGAAAAAAGAATCCTCCACCCATTCCCCTTGTGGAAAACGTTTTCAGTTTTTTTTAATCCTTCCCTTCACTCATTATTGCTGCTGTCGACCACACAACTTAAGAACAACTTAAGAACGAATCTGGCTACAAAGTTAGCTAGCTGGCTACCTGCCTGGCATCACCGTGACCTTGACTTGGAGTTGGCGGGCGGCATCTGACCGCGCTAACTAGGCATACGTCAATAAGTGGGCAGGGACTGGTCATATTTTATGTAAATCACGTGACTTTTCAGACATTGCTGTGAATGGAGGACTGTCGAACATTGAAACAGAAAGAGATTATAGGCATTGATTTGTGTGGCTGAATTTTAGTAGATGTATAATTATCTCACGATCGACTGGCAAGCACTCCGCAATCGACCAGTAGATCGCTATCGACTGGTTGGGCACCCCTGCTATTCACACACACATGCACACACACATACACAAACATATGCACAAACACATACACAAACATACACACACACAAACACAGGGAACCCTGTGTCCGTACCAGACTAACTGATCTAGCTCATATTTTGATAGTGGTCTGTGGCTATTTGTGCAGGCTGTGTATTCTGTGCTGATAATATTATTGTCTGCTGCAGTCAGTCGAGAGAGGGAGAGTGTAGCGTATTTGGGTTAGGGAGGATAATCCACTCACCCCTAAAGAGGATTGGAAAATCTCACAGGCTTTGATGAGTTGTGAGCTGGTGTTTATTTCACATCACAAGAAGAAGACTGTTTGTGTCACAGCCAGCCAGGGCACTTCCTCCCCTCTCTCCTCCGCCACCCCTCCCACGGAATGCTGGGTCATTATTATTGTGCCAGAGAGGGAGGGGGTAGGTGGGAGGAGGAGGAAGGGGGAGAGGGAGGGAGGATGTTTTAGTGAGAAGGTGTTGTTGTTTCTTAGCTATCTCTATCCAGATCACAGGGTTAGTGGAGATTATGTGATTATTGAAGCGTCTCTCTGTGTCTGTTTGTGACTGTGGAGAACTAGGCATGGTGTAGTGCTGCTGAGGCAGGCAGGTTGCTCTAATGAGCCAGCACTAAGCTGAGCCATGCCATCCCCTGCAACACAAATCACACACTGACACACACAGGAGAGGGGAAGGGAGGGGGTCGGGGGGGGGGGGGGGGGGGGCATAAAAACACAATTTACACAACGCTACAGTAGGAGGTTTTGTTTGTGTATTAGATAGGAGGGCAGACAAAGAAAAACTGTAGTTCGTTCGGAAGAAAATTATGCAACATTTGCTTGTCTTCGCTCATTGGTTCCTCTCTCTAGGGTCCCCAGCTTCAGGACCACCCTGTCCCTCTGTGACTTGGGGACTGTTGTCTGGGTTCCCTGCTCTGGCTTCAGACTAGAGAGATTGTGGCCTTAATTCCTCCAGACAGCCTTTAATGCTCTAAGCAGCAGTGGAGATATGCCTAAAGTGGCTAAAGCAGCACTGTGCCTCTGATCCCCAGAAGGAAGGGGATTTGAATTAAGGGTATCCAAAGCCCTTAACAAGGCACACACGAGACCATGACTACAGTGTCGTCTCTGAGGGGAAGACCATATTGTACCGTGAGCTTCCACTCACATAGATAATACATTCTAGTTATCTTCAAACCACCTGGGATGCACTGTTCACACACCTTGTGTGAACTTATTACTTGGAACATATTTGGATATACAGTACCATCAGTTTGATGGTACAGCCTCTACAGCTTCTTTCATACCCAGCAAGACTGTCTGGTGATTTTCAGGATGAAGACAAGCAGACAGACAGGTACACCCACAGACAGAATGACGGACAGACAGACAGGAAAACAGGGAGACAGACAGGTACACCCACGGACGGACAGGCAGGGAGACTGGTCGACATAACAAGTAGCCTTGGACAGACCTGAACAAATGACGTGTGTGTTTTTATTCATAGTTATTCAAATGGCACCAGGATTAAAAAGAAATTGCTGGTCTGGTGGTCTCTAAGATTTACATACCTGAATGGAATCTTCCCACATGAAAAAATACTACAGTTTACTATAACATACTACAGTACTTACTATATAATTCTATAGTAAGTTGTAGTATACTGTAGAATACTATACTACACACTGTAGTATCCCTCGATCATGTGTAGTACTTAGGTCAGAATCTCTGAACTATCTGTTCAGACCCCAGTGCGACCGACCGACCGACCGATTATGGAAAATGTGCTCTTTTAGTATTTAGTTTCCTGAAGGAGAAAGCCTACACTTCTATGTTTACATTTACATTTTAGTCATTTAGCAGACGCTCTTATCCAGAGCGACTTACAGTTATATCAAAGATAATAAAACAAAAACACTATAGTAAATACTAAAGTAGTCAGTATTTTTTCATGTGTGTTCTTAATCACTCTCTGAACAGCTCTGTTAAGGTTGTACTGCAGGCTTGCCATCTGTAGGTGTATTGCAGTGTCTGCGGCGTGTGTGAGTGTGCGTGCACACGCATGTGTGCTTGTGCACGTTGTAAAGTTCCTAATGTCCTGAAGTAATTAATTTAGCCCTACTTGAAGCACGTAACGTGCTGGTGTAACAGCAGTCTTTTATGGCTGATGTACATGCAGCTTTAATTACACAAATTGATGTTGAGTGACATGTGGAAGGCTGATAATCCTCTCCACTGAAGTAGGGCTCAGCGCTGTTGACTGAAATATTGTTCTTCTATCCACCACTTCCAACCAGCCTTGCTTAAGCGGTATATTGCTGACTCGACACTCTTGATAGGATTCAATATATTAACTCTGAATTAGGATGAGTTTCCAGCAGAGAGAGAGAGACTGACACACACACGCATGCACGCAAGCACACACAGGTGCACACACAGCTCCCTCCATCTGACAGGCTTGTGGAACACAGGTGGAAGTTACTAACCACAAGCCAAGCTCTGACTGGGCCACAAATCATGATCAATGGGCCTCTGCTTGGCTCCACTGTCTGAAACTCCGCCATCTTCTTTGAATGTCAGTCACCACACACTGCCAAATTGAACCGACTGCTCCCTAAACTCTGTCTGTTAGTCTAGTGTTAGAGCTGACTGGTCACACAGCCTGTTTCTGGGCTCCCATCACTCAGCGTCATCTAATGCTATTTCCTCTATTTGTGTCCTCCCAAATGGGACATGAGTCTGATGGCTACCATTTTAGTTATTACTTTATGTCCTCCATTTTGCCTTAAATGCATCCTGTCCTCCATATACAGTAAAAATACCTGCTGCTGTAATGAGGATGTATGTAGAAATGGATCCAGTTTGCTGTGTATGTCTGAGTGTGTTAGTAGAAGCTCTAACTGGGTCTGGGTATGATCCAGCCCATAAAAACACAGTCAATTAATGTTTGTTCTTATAGCTCCACAGAGAGGCAGAGACAGGACAATGTTGTTTCAGCTTCCGCTATTGGCGCTTCAACCAAAAGCCTTTATTATGGGAAAGAGAGGAAAACACAGAGACAGCTATTTGCTGTCTATATGAAAACACACTCCCCGACATGCTCTGTTTGTGAGGATTTAAATTGTAGGGTTGTGCGTGTGTTTGTGCGTGTGCGTGTGTATGTGCACGCTGGTGTTTGTGCCTTTTGAGTGACGGGAAAGACGTTACTGGGAATTTGAGAATGTGATTAGTTTCATGAGGGAGAATATGACATTGAGACCTCTGTGGTGTTTTATATTCCTCATGTCTCCTGTGTTACCTGCTCTCTATAACCCCTGGAACGTTTGTTTGCTCACATTTGTATTCAATCATCTGTCAGCCGATCTTATCCACAGTGACTCACAGAGCAGCACAATACATAAACTGGGTGGTTTGAGCCCTGAATGCTGATTCGCTGAAAGCTGTGGTATATCAGACCGTATATCATGGGTATTTTTAATTACGTTGGTAACCAGTTTATAATAGCAATAAGGCACCTCCGGGGATTGTGGTATATGGCCAATGTACCACGGCTAAGGGCTGTATCCAGGCACTCCACGTTGCATCGTGGATAAGAACAGCCCTTAGCCATGATATATTGGCCATACACCACACCCCCTTGGGCCTTATTGCTTAATTATAAACTGAATGAACAAAGAAGCCAGAAAGGGTGACAAGACAAGAATGACAATATGACAATATCAATCCAGTTTTTATTTCAGAAGAACAACCATTAAATACAAATACAATGATCAGTGGTCTATGTAAGCAAATATACTACAGTCGTGGTCAAAAGTTTTGAGAATGGCACAATAATTGGTCTTCACAAAGTTTGCTGCTTCAGTGTTATGAGATATTTTTGTTAGATGTTACTATGGTATACTGAAGTATAATTACAAGCATTCCATAAGTGTCAAAGGCTTTTATTGACAATTACATTACGTTTATGCAAAGAGTCAATATTTGCAGTGTTGACCCTTCTTTTTCAAGACCTCTGCAATCCGCCCTGGCCTGCTGTCAATTAACTTCTGGGCCACATCCTGACTGATGGCAGCCCATTCTTGCATAATCAATGCTTGGAGTTTGTCAGAATTTGTGGGTTTTTGTTTGTCCACCCGTCTCTTGAGGATCGACCACAAGTTCTCAATGGGATTAAGGTCTGGGGAGTTTCCTGGCCATGGACCCAAATTGTCGATATTTTGTTCCCCGAGCCACTTAGTTATCACTTTTGCCTTATGGCAAGGTGCTCCATCATGCTGGAAAAGGCATTGGTCGTCACCAAACTGTTCTTGGATGGTTGGGAGAAGTTGCTCTCGGAGGATGTGTTGGTACCATTCTTTATTCATGGCTGTGTTCTTAGGCAAAATTGTGAGTGAGCCCACTCCCTTGGCTGAGAAGCAACCCCACACATGAATGGTCTCAGGATGCTTTACTGTTGGCATGACATAGGACTGATGGTAGCTCTCACCTTGTCTTCTCCGGACAAGGTGTTTTCCGGATGCCCTAAACAATCGGAAAGGGGATTCATCAGAGAAAATGACTTTACCCCAGTCCTCAGCAGTCCAATCCCTGTACCTTTTGCAGAATATCAGTCTGTCCCTGATGTTTTTCCTGGAGAGAAGTGGCTTCTTTGCTGCCCTTCTTCAGACCAGGCCATCCTCCAAAAATCTTTGCCTCACTGTGCGTGCAGATGGACTCACACCTGCCTGATGCCATTCCTGAGCAAGCTCTGCCTGATGGTGCCCCAATCCCGCAGCTGAATCAACTTTAGGAGACGGTCCTGGCGCTTGCTGGACTTTCTTGGGCGCCCTGACGCCTTCGTCACAACAATTGAACCTCGCTCCTTGAAGTTCTTGATGATCCGATAAATGGTTGATTTAGGTGCAATCTTACTAGCAGCAATATATTTGCCTGTGAAGCCCTTTTTGTGCAAAGCAATGATGACGGCATGTGTTTCCTTGCAGTTAACCATGGTTAACAGCGGAAGAACAATGATTTCAAGCACCACCCTTCTTTTAAAGCTTCCAGTCTGTTATTCTAACTCAATCAGCATGACAGAGTGATCTCCAGCCTTGTCCTCGTCAACAGTCTCACCTGTGTTAACGAGAGAATCACTGACATGATGGCAGCTGGTCCTTTTGTGGCAGGGCTGAAATGCAGTGGAAATGTTTTTTGGGAGATTAAGTACATTTTCATGGCAAAGAGGGACTTTGCAATTAATTGCAATTCATCTGATCACTCTTCATGACATTCTGGAGTATATGCAAATTGCCATCATCAAAACTGAGGCAGCAGACTTTGTGAAAATTAGTATTTGTGTCATTCTCAAAACTTTTGACCACGACTGTATTATACACTAGCAGGTTGTGTATTGGGTGTGTGATGTTGTTGCTTGAGGAGGAATCACTTGTCAAGATGATGACATCAGTTGTGAGTTCAAATAGATGTCCCCTCTGAGCAGCTTGGATCAGGAAGTAGAGGTGAGAAGATGGATACATCCAGGGGGTGATGGGTCAGAGGTCACATCATATTAACCACTGTTCCTGAGATGGTGGTGACCTTTTACCTTAACCTCTCTGGTTTAATCCCTGTCCATATCCTCTCTAGCTGGACTGGACTATGTTGTCACTACTGAGCCACTGAGGATTCAGGAGGATTCAGGACTGTTGACTAATAGTCCATACTTTTCCGTGATTCAGCGGCTGCCGTGTGTTCACTGCATCATCTATTCATGACACATGCTGTAATTGGTGATGAGTCATTAAGAGCAGAATAATAGTTCCATCCATCACAGGCTCCATTACACAACGTCCCTGTCTCAGTATCCCATTTCAACCTCTTTTTAGGTTTTCTTGTTGGGTTGCTGTTGTTGTTGTTGATGCGTCACCTCTCTCAGCTGGGTCTATGGTGTGTGTCTCTGACGGGCCGTCCTTTTCTCCCTGTGCGTATTTGAAGGTGTAAAGGGGCGTCTCACTATGGCCTGTCTGCGGACAGGAAGCGGCGTTCCCAGGAGGGTGACTGCACTGACAGCACGTCAGAACTCACCGTCGCCACCCTGCCCGGCGATGGCCCTGCCTCCGCCGCGGTCGCCCTCCTATCAGACGAACCCGGCCTCGTCAACCCTGCCTTTGACCCCAGCATGGAGGACAACAGCCAATCAGGAAGCACCACAAGCCTGGCAGCCCGCAGCAGTACCAAGAAGAGTGAGTGTGCGTGTGCGTATGGATGTGTTTGTGTGTTTGTGATTATGTGTGGTGCTGCACCAAGTAACCTTTCTCTGATCTATAAAGCACTGTGTGTGTGTGTATGTGTGTGTGTGTGTGTGTGTTTGTGCGCATCGCACTGTTTGTCACTGTGACTGATTGAAAATCAATAGAAAGCAAGGAGCCAGCGGAGGCTTTCTAGTCACAGTTTCATAGTCCCTCACTTACATAGATACCACCAGTAAACACTATTCATAAATACATTTTACACCCTCATACCCACACACTAGATATACATCCCATAACCTATGCACACTTAAACACAGTATCTGTACTACTTAATGATCTTTGATAGAAATCTTGTTCTTCAATTAGCTTTTATTGCATCGATTTTTCACCGATCTATAAAATCTCTGTCCTGGGCTGGAGGGGTGGAGAGACAGAGAAAGAGAGACAGAGAGAGACAGACAGAGAGAGAGACAGACAGAGAGAGAGAGAGAGAGAGAGAGAGAGAGAGAGAGAGAGAGAGAGTTAGAGGCAGGGAGGGAGGGAGGGAGGGAGAATGTAAAGAGAGGGAGTGAGAATGGGAGGAATGAGGGTTAAATATAGCCCAGGTCCATTAATGCTGAATGACGTGATAGCCCCTCACCCTCCACTCATCCCACCTGTGAACCCTGGAGCCACTCACACGTGTCACACTCACTCACATCCACCCTCACAACGTGAGTGCGCCACTGGTGGTGGGGCATCAAATGACGTTGCAACAGCACTTTTGGCCTGGGCCGCTGAGCGGAGCGGAGCACCCACCGCCATGCAGAGCCACTGCTGCTGAACAAGCTGTCAGCTCCAGAAGTGCCGGGTGCATTTAAAGAATAATGTGGCTGTCAGGAGGCCTCGCATCTCCCCTGGCCCGCAGAGGGAGGGAGGGGCGCTGCAGAGGCCCACTGCTCCGCTCTCAGGGCAGCCAGGCTGGGGCTCATACTCCATTGCAGCCTGCTCTGCTCTGGTAGACTATAGTAGGGTCCCACTGGTGTATTTAAACTGCACCTAGTTTTAGCTGTTGATGACATAAACATGGCTGCTGCAGTTTACAAAGCCCATCACCCCTGCAGAGTTTCTAGGCCCCCTCCCTCAAGTGTGCATTTCTGTTCTTTCTTGAAATAATGATAACACAAATTAGTGTTTTGGGGAATTCCTGAAAGATATTGATTGGATTCTCTAAAATAAATGTGTTCAAGCTGTTGTTAGGGCTTTTGTAGAGGCAGAGAGAATGAGAGCTCTCCGGCATCTGATTGGCTGTGGAGAAGCAGTCTCAGAGACTTGTCCAGACATGTTCAGTCAGAACAGAGCTGATCTATAAAGTGTGCCCCTGTCTCTCTCTCCCCTCAGTCCGAAACTATGACCGCACCTCGGTCAGGAGCCGCTCCTTCAGGCGGTTGAATCGTGCTTTCAGTGTCCTGCGGAGGACCAAGAGTGGCACTTCTGTGTCCAATGAGACCACAGAGGAACAAGACAATGTCAGGAACGCCAGTGTGCCACAGGAAGGTATGTGTGTGTGTGTGTGTTTGTTTGTGTGGGTGTTTGTGTGTTTGCTTTTGTGCACTATATGAAATATGTGTATGCTGTGGTTTCCACGTCTATATTGATTTGTCAGTGGGGGTTGTGTTTAAATCAGTATGAAGTCAGTGCTCTCTATGCTGTGTCTGCAGTTTCTGTGAATCCCCGTAGAGGGTATGAGATGTGTGTGTGTGTGTGTTTGTACGTCTGTACTTGTGTGCATGTATATGCGTGTGTCTGTGTGCATGCCTGTGCTTGCATGGATTTTTGTGTCTGTGTTTACGTGAATGTGTTTGTGTGCGCGTGTGTATGTGTTTGCGAGAGTGTGTGCCTGTGTTTGTTTGTGTGTATGTGTGTGCATGTGTGAGCAGTTCCTTTGGCTCTGTGCTGAGGGTGATATGGCTGGGTAACTGCTGCTGCATATGTTCCTTTAATAATTCAGCTGCACATTGTGTAAGAGTCCACTGGTCCCCAGAACAGAACAGAAGAGAAGATGGTGATCAGATGGGAGAGTGGCAGCCTGGGGCATTGTGGGCCAGGCTGAAGGAGAGAGAGTAGGAGCTTCAGGGGACAGGGACAGAGAGCTGCTGGACAGAGTCTGGAGTATACAGAGTATACAAAACATTAAGGACACCTGCTCTTTCAATGACATAGACTGACCAGGTGATTTCAGGTGAAACCTATGATCCCTTATTGATGTCACCTGTTAAATCCACTTCAATTAGTGTAGATGAAGGGGAGGAGACAGGTTAAATAATTATTTTCAAGCCTTGAGACATGGATTGTGTGTGTGCCATTCACAGGGTGAATAGGCAAGATAAAATATTTAAGTACCTTTGAACGGGGTATGATAGTAAGTTTGTGTCAAGAACTGCAACGCTACTGGGTTTTTCACGCTCAACAGTTTCCCGTGTGTATCAAGAATGGTCCACCACCCATAGGACATCCAGCCAACTTGACACAACTGTGGGAAGCATTGGAGTCAACATGGGCCAGCATCCCTGTGGAACGCTTTAGACACCTTGTAGAGACCATGCCCTGACGTTATATAGGATGAGCCATGACTAAAATATAGTTTATACAGTTGAAGTCGGAAGTTTACATACACCTTAGCCAAATACATTTTTCACAATTCCTGACATTTAATCCTAGTAAAAATTCCCTGTCTTAGGTCAGTTAGGATCACCTCTTTATTTTAAGAATGTGAAGTGTCAGAATAATAGTAGAGAGAATTATTTATTTCAGCTTTTATTTATTTAATCACATTCCCAGAGGGTCAGAAGTTTACATACTCTCAATTATTATTTGGTAGCATTGCCTTTAAATAAATTGGGTGAATTTTGGCCCATTCCTTCTGACAGAGCTGGTGTAACTGAGTCAGGTTTGTAGACCTCCTTGCTCGCACACGCTTTTTCAGTTCTGCCCACAAATCTTCTATAGGCTTGAGGTCAGGGCTTTGTGATGGCCACTCCAATACCTTGACTTTGTTGTCCTTAAGCCATTTTGCCACAACTTTGGAAGTATGCTTGGGGTCATTGACCATTTGGAAGACGCATTAGCGACCAAGCTTTAACTACCTGACTGATTTCTTGAGATGTTGCTTCAATATATCCACATAATTTTCCTTCCTCATGATGCCATCTATTTTGTGAAGTGCACCAGTCCCTCCTACAGCAAAGCACTCCCACAGCATGATGCTGCCACCCCCGTGCTTCACGGTTGGGATGGTGTTCTTCGGCTTGCAAGCAGCCCCTTTTTTCCTCCAAACATAACAATGGTCATTATGGCCAATCAGTTCTATTTTTGTTTCAGACCAGAGGATATTTCTCCAAAAAGTACGATCTTTGTCCCCATGTGCAGTTGCCAAACCGTAGTCTGGCTTTTTTATGGCGGTTTTGGAGCAGTGGCTTCTCCCTTGCTGAGCGGCCTTTCAGGTTATGTCAATATAGGACTCGTTTTACTGTGGATATAGATACTTTTGTACCTGTTTCCTCCAGCATCTTCACAAGATCCTTTGCTGTTGTTCTAGGATTGATTTGCACTTTTCGCACCAAAGTACGTTCATCTCTAGGAGACAGAACACATCTCCTTCCTGAGCGGTATGACGGCTGCGTGGTCCCATGGTGTTTATACTTGCGTACTATTGTTTGTACAGATGAACGTGGTACCTTCAGGCATTTGGAAATTGCTCCCAAGGATGAACAATTTATTTTCTGAGGTCTTGGCTGATTTCTTTTGATTTTCCCATGATGTCAAGCAAAGAGGCACTGAGTTTGAAGGTAGGCCTTGAAATACATCCACAGGTACACCTCCAATTGACTCAAATTATGTCAATTAGCCTATCAGAAGCTTCTAAAGCCATGACATCATTTTCTGGAATTTTACAAGCTGTTTAAAGGCACAGTCAACTTAGTGTATGTAAACTTCTGACCCACTGAAATTGTGATACAGTGAATTATAAGTTAAATAATCTGTCTGTAAACAATTGTTGGAAAAATTACTTGTGCCATGCACAAAGTAGATGTCCTAACCGACTTGCCAAAACTATAATTTGTTAACAAGAAATTTGTGGAGTGGTTGAAAAATGAGTTTTAATGACTCCAACCTAAGTGTATGTAAATTTCTGACTTCAACTGTACATATAAAGTGGGAAAAACAGTTTGTAAACCTGATTAAATTATTTTAAGGTGGTCTTCAATTTTTTATTTTATTTTAACACTCCATTTAAAAACCCTTAAAATCCCAATTCGTTTATGTACATAGGGCAGCAGTCTCTAAAGTGCAGGGCAGGGTACCGGGTGGAGGCCAGCTAGTGATGACTCTTTAACAGTCTGATGACCTGGAGATAGAAGCTGTTTATCAGTCTGTCGGTCCCAGCTTTATTTGTTTATTTGGATCCCCATTAGCTTTTGCAGAAGCAGCAGCTATTCTTCCTGGGGTCCACAAAAAACATGACAAGTAACAAAACACTGATACCCTAATAGACAAGGACAGTCACACAAATGTAAAATACAATGATATACAAACAATAACTAAAACATTGTGTGTGTGTGTTAGAGTGTGTCTGTGTGTTTATGTGTTTGTGTGTGTGTCCCCTCACAGTCCTCGCTGTTCCATGAGCTTTGATGCACCTGTACTGTCCGCCTTCTAGATGGTAGCAGGGTGAACAGGCCGTGGCTCGGGTGGCTGGGGTCCTTGATGATCTTCTTGGCCTTCCTGTGACACCGGGTGCTGTAAATATCCTGGAAGGCTGTAAATATCCCAGCGATGCATAGGGCTGACCGCACCACCCTCTGGAGAGCCCTGCAGTTGTGGGTGGTGCAGTTGCCATACCAGGCGGTGATACAGCCCGACAGAATGCTCTCGATGGTGCATCTGTAGAAGTTTGTGAGGGTCTTAGGGGCCAAGGCGGATTTCTTCAGCCTCCTGAGGTTGAAGAGGCGCTGTTGCACCTTCTTCACCACACTGTCAGTGTGGAGGGACCATTTCAGGTCCTCTGTGATTTGCATACCGAGGAACTTTACCTTTTGACCCTCTCCACTGTGGCCCGGCGATGTGGATGGGGGCGTGCTCTCTCTGCTGTCTCCTGTAGTCCACGATCAGCTCCTTCGTTTTGTTGACATTGAAGGAGAGGTTATTTTTCCTGGCACCACTCCACCAGGGCTCTCACCTCCTTCCTGTAGGATGTCTCAAATGAACCTGATTTCTACGTCTGGAAAATACGTATTTTTCTACGTCTGGAAAATACGTATTTTCAACGTCCGGAAATTTCTTTTTAAATGTCAGGAAAATACGTTTTCATCTTTCATATATAACCTAAAATGAACATCTGGAAAAAACGTTTTCTTTACCCCCTTTTTGATCTTGTCTCATAACTGCAACTCCCAACTGGCAAAGGTCAAGTCATGCATCCTCCGAAACATGACCCACCTAACCACACTTCTCAACACCCACCCACTTAACCCACAAGCCAGCTGCACCAATGTGTAAGAGGAAACACCATTCAACCTATGACTGTAGTCAGCCTGCATGCACCCAGCCCACCCCAAGGAGTCGCTAGAGCACAACAAGCCAAGTAAAGCCCCCTGGCCAAACTCTCCCCTAACCTGGACGATGCTGGGCCAATTGTGCACCGCCCTATGGGACTCCCAATCACGGCCAGTTGTGATACAGCCCAGGATCGAACCCGGGTCTGTAGTGACGCCTTTACATTTTAAATTTACGTCATTTAGCAGACGCTCTTATCCAGAGCAACTTACAGTTAGTGAATACATATTTTTTTATACTGGCCCCCCGTGGGAATCGAACCCACAACCCTGGCGTTGCAAACGCCATGCTCTATCAACTGAGCTACATCCCTGCCGGCCATTCCCTCCCCTACCCTGGACGATGCTGGGCCAATTGTGCGCCGCCCATGAGTCTCCCGGATCGCGGCCAGCTGCGACAGAGCCTGGATTCGAACCAGGATCTCTAGTGGCACAGTTAGCACTACGATGCAGTGCCTTTCCGGAGGCCCGGAAAATACGTATTTTAAAGTATTCTAGGTTTTGGGGGGGGGCAATGTTTTTGTCTTGCCTAGGGCGGCAGAACGGCCAGGATCGGGCCTGTGTAGAGGGATACATTGTGTATTACAGAGGCATACAGAATCCATTTCAGATGGATGCAGTATACAGGACGACCCTGGTGAATGAGAGGGATGGACATGAAGAGTAGAGTGAAGTGAAGGATGAGCCGTGATGTTCATGATGGTGATGATGAGGACAACCATTGGACTGTGAGTCAGAGAGAGAGAGAGAGAGAGAGAGAGAGAGAGAGAGAGAGAGAGAGAGAGTGGAGAATGAAAGATCAGAGACCATATTATTCTCTAAGGCCATTGTTGAGGAGCCTGTGGGAATAGATTAAATATTCATAGAATCCCTCTGGAGAAAGAAGAAGGATGAGAGAGAGAGGGTGGAGAGAGGAGAGAGAGAGAGGAGAGGGATGGGAGGAGTGAAGAGAGGAGAAGATGAGTAGAGAGAGATGAGAGATTAGTAGAAGAGAGAGGGGATGGAGGTAATCGATACTTTTACCTCTCTTTTTTGGCACTCATTTCGCTCAGCTTTCCTTCTTCTTCTCTCTCGCTGTTTTCTTTCTTTATTTCGAGTCGGTCCGGTCTTTTTTGGAGGTCTGCTTTAGGCCTCTGTGGTTTCAGGTGGTGATGGGGGCGCCTGTTTGGGGTGTCTTGCGCGGTGTAGGGCTTTCCGTCGGGTTAGGGGGTTTGAGGCTTGGTTCGGTGGGGTGCTCGCGGTGGAAAGGGGCTCGGGGGGGCGCTCGGTCTTCTGCGTTGGTTTCTTGTCTCGACCTTCTTCTTTTGTCATGTTTTTTCTGATGTTTGGAGATGAGGGGGTTGGAAGAGAGACTTGGATTGAGATGAGTTGCAGAGAGAGGGTCCTGATCGAGCGAGAGATGAGAGGAGCCTAGTCTCTTCGCTCCTTCTGCCTCCTCTCTCCGCTGTCGAGTCGGAGAGGTTTATATCAGCCATTAGGTCTGTTGTGTTAATGTGCTCTACTCCCTTGAAGCAATCTGCGGTGATGAAGAGAAAATATTGACTTTGGAAGGGATAAACTGCAGTGTGAGTAGAAGTAGAGACTGGGGCTATGGAACAAATTAGATAGGGGGAGAGAGTGGGCCAGAGAGAGAGAAAGATCGAGAGATTGAGCAGGGAGGGAGAGATTGAGAGATAGAACCACTGATAGATACAGAGCGATATAGATAGTGTATATAGCACACATTGTCCGAGGTAGCTGTGAGCTGGTTAGCTCTTGGCCCAGGCTGTTGGCAGTATTGAACGGACACATACCAGTCCCTGCCTCCCCTATCTAATTGTCCAGTCAGGATGTGTCTGCTGCTCAGAGCTGGGAAACAGAGAGGACAACATACAGGAACAACTCTGTGTGGGAGAGGCTGAAGTTAGACCATCCATTTGGTGACAATGGTATTACTTTCACTCTTACACCTGAAAGCTGACACTGTGTGTTTGTGTGTGCGTGCATGTGTGCATATGTATATGTGTGTGTACAGTATGTGGTTGTGTATTTGTGAGAACTTTAGATCTAATGTCTGTGTCTGTACAGTCCTGTGTGTAAAAGTGTGTGTGATTTTATATCCACCCAAGCTATTGCTTATTAAGGTTATTACCTTGTAGAAAATGAAATGTGAGGGTTTTCCCAAGCATACTTGGTACAGATGTGACTAATGATACAAACATGGGAAAGGATGATCAGCTAAGTGGATTTTCCCTTTAGGCTTGTAGAAGCTTGTTTTGCTAACCTGGGGGAGCCGAGACAGCTGCTTCAACACCAAACCTCTCTACACTCCCTCCCTCCCTCCCTCCCCCCCTCCCTCCCTCCGTCCGTCTGTCTGTCTGTCTGTCTGTCTGTCTGTCTGTCTGTCTGTCTGTCTGTCTATCTATCTATCTCTCTCTTTCTCTGTTGGCCTTGCACTCTGTGTCTGTGAGAGATTTCCTTCTCATCATATAAATCAGAGTATCACACTCTTTCTCTCTCCCTCCCTAATTTTCTCTCTATCTCTCTTTCTCTCTCTCTATTTACCTCCTTCCCCTCTCTCAGTGCTGGCTCTACCGCAGCTCCATCACTTGATCCCTGATGGTGAGGTCACCAGTATTAAGATCAACCGTGAGCCCTCTGAGCCTTTGGCCATCAGCATCGTGGGGGGCAACGAGACCCCCCTGGTGCGTATCCTCATCCAGGACATCTACAGGGAGGGGGTTATCGCCCGGGATGGACGCCTGCTGCCTGGGGACATTATCCTCAAGGTCAGTGTGTGTTTTTCTTCAGAGTAAGGTTGAGTACTACTCCCCATGTCTGTGACTGTATGTATTCTGTTTTGTGTTAGAATTGCTCATTACATCACAGCTATAGACCTAACATATTCCAAAATGCTATAAATACATTTTCAGAAATGTTGGTAAATTACCTTTTATTGTTTAAAGAAATTATGAAAGAGATTGGAGTGTTTTTTCACTATCTAATCATGGCATGGGGTTGTTCAGTGACATGTATTTGTTTAAAATCTATCACTTGATGGTTTTGTTTCAGAGAGACAACTAATCATGTTTGTTTGCTATATATCCGCCTCACTCTCAGAGAAAGAAGTAGTACTGCTAGGTTTTACACAGTCAAATGTAGCAAATAACTACATTTTTGATAAAGAAATGTACAAATAATACATTTGTGACATCAATATTTAAAAAAGTTTTAAAAACATTTTCAATATAGTAATATGAGATCTGTAGTGAGACAAACTCATTTCAAATATACAGGATACGAACACTCTATTCCAGCTAAACAATGGATATATAGCGTTTTTCAATTTTAAATATTCATACACATCTAAAATCTATGAATTAAAAATCTGAGAACAGCAATATTTGACATAGCCATAAGCAATCATTTCGGATGAAAAAACACAAATGTGAACAATTTGTGGATATAATGTTTTGGAAATAAACTCTTCAATATAACCTGCATATAATCTGAGACTTAAATCCACCTTTACATCTCTCCCGCTCATCTTCAGGTGAAATGGCATAGACATCAGCAATGTGCCCCACTGCTACGCCCTGGCCACCCTCAAACAGCCCTGCCAGCTGCTGCGACTCACAGTGCTGAGAGAGCAGCGCCACCGCTACCGTTCGCACCCCCACAATGCGGCTGGTGGCTACCTGCCTCACGGCCTCTCCCACGGCCATCCCCTGAGGGATGACAGCATCCACGTGGTCCTGGCTAAGAGCACCCCAGAGGAGCAGCTGGGCATCAAGCTGGTGAGACGACCAGAGGAACATGGAGTCTTCATCTTCCACCTGCTGGAGGGCGGCCTTGGCGGCACACGACGGACAGCTCAGCATTAACGACCGTGTCCTCGCAATCAACGGACACGACCTGCGCTATGGAGCGCCTGAACACGCCGCTTTACTCATACAGGTCAGTCTGCAGGGGTAAGGGTTAGGGAGTGTTGGTTGGTTTTGGTTTACAATGGTTGGTAATGGTGTGTGTCTGGTAATGTGCCTGGTATGTTTCTTGGCTCTGGGTTCCTGGTATAGTATCGCTATTAGTGGTGTGTGGTTCTGGTAAATTGCACTGTGTTGGCTGGCTTTGTCCCCGTCCATTGCGGTTAATTGTGGTTAATTGTGGTGTATCTGTGGTCGACTGGGCGCTGCTCTGCTGCTTGGCTGAGGCTCTGCTTCCTGGTGAATGCTGGGTAATTGCGGTGGTGTGTTTCTGGTTGACTGTGGGATGTAGCTGTAGCTGTGCTCTCTGGGTTCTTATCTGAGGAGACTGGCTGGTTCTTGAGGGTCTCTGAGGACTCAACATGGCTGCTCACATCAGGCTGTTTCTGTCAGAGATTAAGAACTGGCGGGAAACCAATTAAATTAGTCCAATTAAGGCAATTACAAGCTGGACTGGGTGATTTAGGAGTCAGCTTTGCTCCACAGAGAGCACAGGCACTCTCAAAAGAGCAACTCTGGAGGCCGAGCTGTGTGTGTGTGTGTCTGTGTGTGTACACTTGAATGTGCAATATGCGTGTGTGTGTGCATGTGCCTGTGAGTGTGTGCAAGTTCATGCGAGTGAATGAGGGAGTGAGTGAGTCATTGTGTGAGTGGGTCGACAAAACAGAGTAATAAAGAGACAGAGTGAAAGAAGCTGGAGGAAAGGTTGTAGAGAGGAGAGACAGAGATTAGTAAGAAAAATGAGTTTAAAGTTGGAAAAGTCATTGTGAGAGAATGAGGGCTGCAGAAAGACTGCAGTGTTATTAGAGACAGAAGAGAAAATGACCTTTCTCTACTATTCTTCATATTGTGAAGCTGACTACCAATCTATGATCTATGGAGCAGCTCTGTCTCAGCAGGATGGGGGGGTAATGGGAGGATAAGAGTGTCACACACACCATCCTACACAGATTCACTCACATATAGATTGCTTACTCCTGGAGGATGTTAGAGTCACAACCAGGCTGCTTCCTGAAGCAAGTAAAAGGGTGAAATTGACGTGTGTGTGAGTGAGAGTGTTTTGTAACAGAGCATCTGTTTATTATGTGTATTAACCTCTCGGGGGTAATAAAATGTTTGACATATTTTACTGCCTGGCCAAGCTCTCTGTGGGTGATTCTTTCCCTAGAGCTCTCTTCAGGGGGTGGTAGGAGAGGGTAGAGAATGTCCACAGGAAATAGAACCCTCTGTGGAAAGGGTTCTACATAGAATTCTTCGAAGGGATCTCTTATGGGGACAGCCGAAGAACCCTTTTAGGTAGCACCTTTTTAATTTTTTTTTATAAGAGTGTAGTTTCTGTGTCTGGGTCTAGTTATGTGGCAGTAAAAGTTGTTTTTAAGGACTTGTTTGGATATCTGGATCAACTTAATTGAAGCTGTATTCAGTGTGTATTTATGAGGGCTTAACCATGATATTATTATTGAGTTTGTTCTTCTTATTGCATTGCTCTGTGTCTGTCTGGGACTGAGCTTTGTCCCCTGTAGCTCAGTTGGTAGAGCATGGCGCTTGCAATGCCAGGGTTGTGGGTTCGTTTCCCACGGGGGGCCAGTATGAAAATGTATGCACTCACTAACTGTAAGTCGCTCTGGATAAGAGCGTTTGCTAAATTACTAAAATGACTAAAATGTAAATGTCTCTGGTTGTCTCCTGTAGGCGAGTGAGGAGCGGGTCCACTTCATTGTTTCTCGTCAGATCTGTCTGCCCACCCCTGACATCCTGCAGGAGGCTCCATGGGGCATGGAAGGCCCCCCGCCATACTCTCCAGTGGACCTAGAACACACGCTACTGGTGAGCAATGCATGACGCATGTACGAGCATACAAACACAAAAACGTCAGACACTGCTTTGATTTAGGATTTTTTCTTCAGGTTGGACACACACGTTCACATACTTAGGGCTCTATTCAACGTCAGCGTTACAGCGTCATTGAAATTTAAAGGCAATGTTCCCGCTTTAGCGGAGACTGTATTCACGGTAAACGCTGCATCTGTCGGCTCAATCGGAAATTACCTTTACATTTCTATTACGCGATCTGTAACGCTTCAGCGACACAGATTGAATAGAGTCCTTGTACACACACCAATTATTTTTTTTAAGACTTTGTTTTCCTGCCTCTTCTTCTCATGCTAAATATTCAATTTTATGTGAAAATGATCCTGAGCCGTATTATTCCTCCATCAAAGAGGAGTGTGTCATCCCTGGCTGTGCCAGTGTTCCGCTCCTCTCAGAGAGCCAAATGTGCGTCCGGAGCAGCCGTCACTCTATTTCTTTCTCTCTCTATTATCCCTGAAGAAAACATTGCCACCACCCTACAGGATTTACACCCCCTCCACCGCCACGCTAAAACAGGATTTTCTCCAGCTCGTTATTGGAGCTGACAACTTCCCTTGTTCTAATAATGATTAACTTCACAGCTCTCACCTCGCTTTCTAGATTTTAAGTTCTAATTCTCACAGATACATTGTTAAAAGTAGAGAATGTGTGACGGCGGAATCTTACTGTATTCTTCAGATAAAGACCTTGGCATCAAAGCTAGTAGAGAGAGAATGAGACTGTAATAAAAAGAACCCTGCAGCGATAGCAGGCAGGAACAATAACAATGTATTACTGTTCTGAGATAAGCCAAGCCACCACCAGCAGGACTATAGATCATATTCAGACTAACTCTAACCAGGCCTTTATATTGTGTTTTAATATTGAAACACAATAATGAAGTTGGCTCCTACTGGATGTGTGTGTGTTGTAGGGAGGCCAAGCCGAGGAAGGAGCTCTAGGGCCGTCAGCAATCCTAGCTTTACTGGAAGAAAAACAGGACCGTACACTCCTTTAATTTGAACATTTAAATGATTCACAGAGATTTAAATGTTACAATTACAGATACAGAAACAGACATACGCACTCGCGCACACACACACTCTTACATCATACACCCATTTACCCCATGCACACACATACACCACTGTGTGCAGTACTGGTCATTGCTTGTGACAGCTGTGGTTAGTGTAGTGTCCTGGGGAAGTCATGGCATGTGACTGAGGGTTAGAAATGTGTGAGTGCAGCACATTTGAGAAACAGCACAGGCCACATCACATCAACCCCAATGTGTCCATGTTTTACTCACACTACTCTACTCTCTCTGACTCACACACTACACGGTCACATACACACTTTCTACAGTACAGATGTCGGATCTTCATTTGATCACTGTTTTGTCGCAGAAAAATGTCCTGCGCATTATGAAATTCGAATGAGCCTTGTGATTTAGACACCTTCACTGAAAACCTACAGTTCTCTTTCTCTCTATGCGGGGGCAGTCGAGTCATTTGGACCAGTGCCAGCTATCAATATCATCCAATCTCTCTCTCGCGCACAAATGCTAAAAGCACCAGACAGAATATTAAGAATTGTCCTACTGTTACTGTAGGCCTATAGGTCTTATTACTGTACTATTCAAATGTACAAAAATGTATCTGAAATGCATCCGTACACATCAACAACCCTTGTTTTATATAGCTTAATAACACAAGATAGATATTGGCCTCCGCTACGACAAGTGTCAAGTGTATCCAAAATGAGGCCTATCAAAACATTAGTTTCCATTCATACAGTGTTAGGTAAATTGCCACAGTAGATTTGCCATGGTAAACGAGGAAATACTTTATTTCTATGGTACAGAATGCTTGTCAAATAGATAAATCGCCCTTAGTCTGTTCAAAAAGTTGTTCTGATGATAAGACGAACCAGAGGCCGAACATATCTTGAAAGACTTTGGTTGCAAGCAGGAATAAAGTAACACGGACATCATCTTTTAGAAAGGGGTAATGAGGTTGCAAATGAGTTCAGCTGTGCAGGTGAATTCAGCACGTGTTGATGGTTTAATGAGACATCATCTGGCGATAATCTAGTGCCATCGATGGTTGCAATAGGCCCCTTGTAATTTGATTAATGCTGCTTTCACGTGCTAGTCGGAACTAGGAAACTCTGAAATGTTCGACTTGCTAACTGTTTAAATGCGGCAGGTGTATAACTACAACCAGTTAGCAAGTCTGACATTTCTGAGTTTCCTAGTTTCGACTAGCATGTGAAGGTGGCTTATATTCCAATACTTTCTGTAGAATATTAAAGCTGATCTAGTCACATAATGAAAGGTGTGAAAACCAATAATAGGCTACCGTTTGTGTTTCCCTGGCTGAGTTGATGAGCTGATTTGGGCCATCAGCTGATTTACAGATGTAGGCCTACTGTAAAACAATCAACTTTCCTCCAGTGTGGATGCCCGCCCACTTTTTATAGTTAGGCTATGTATACTGAATAAAAATATAAACGCAACATAAAGTAAAGTGTAAAGTGTTGGTCCCATGTTTCATGAGCTAAACTAAAAGATGCCTGAAATTTTCCATACACACAAAAAGCTTATTTCTCTCATTTTTTTGGCACAAATGTGTTTACATCCCTGTTAGTGAGCATTTGGTCCTTTGCTAAAATAATCCATCCTCCTGACAGGTGTGGCATATCAAGAAGCTGATTAAACAGCATGATCATTACACAGGTCCACCTTGTGCTGGGGACAGTAAAAGGCCACTCTAAAATGTGCAGTTTTGTCACACAACACAATGCCACAGATGTCTCAAGTTTTGAGGGAGCATGCAATTGACATGCTGACTGCAGGAATGTCCACCAGAGCTGTTGCCAGAGAATTGAATGTTCATTTCTCTACCATGACGTTGTTTTAGAGAATTTGGCAGTATGTCTAATCGGCCTCACCACCGCAGACCACGTGTAACTTCGCCAGCCCAGGACCTCCACATCCGGCTTCTTCACCTGCGGGATCGTCTGGGGTGGAGGGGGGTGCTGAGGAGTATTTCTGTCTGTAATAAAGCCCTTTTGTGGGGAAAAACTCATTCTGATTGGCTGGGCCTGGCTCCTCAGTGGGTGGGCCTGGCTGCCAAGTGGGTGGGCCTATGCCCTCCAAGGCCCACCCATGGCTGCACCCCTGCCCAGTCGTGAAATCCATAGATTAGGGCCTAATGAATTTATTTAATTTGACTGATTTCCTTATATGAATTGTAACTCAGTAAAATCTTAGAAATTGTTGCATGTTGTGTTTATATTTTTGTTCAGTATATCTGCAATATTAAAGCTGATCTACCCCCTTCAAACACCGCTTTCAGCTGCCCCCTGGCTGCGATTTTAAATATGTCTTAATTTCCTCCTGCGATGAAATGGGTCAAATTAAGATCCGACATCTGTACATACACTCTCTCACTTCCACAAACCACAACTATTCCAAATCATCCTGAACATCACACACTGTACTCAGTCTTACACACTAAACTTCCCTCTTAAAAATTCCCACCTCAACACGGGGGCCCCTCAGGGGTGCGTGCTCAGTCCCCTCCTGTACTCCCTGTTCACCCATGACTGCATGGCCAGGCACGACTCCAACACCATCATTAAGTTTGCAGACAACACAACAGTGGTAGGCCTGATCACCGACAACGATGAGACAGCCTATAGGAAGGATGTCAGAGACCTGGCCGTGTGGTGCCAGGATAACAACCTCTCCCTCAACGTGACCAAGACAAAGGAGATGATTGTGGACTACAGGAAAAAAAAGAGGACTGAGCACGCCCCCATTCTCATCGACGGGTCTGTAGTGGAACAGGTTGAGAGCTTTAAGTTCCTTGGTGTCCACATCACCAACGCACTATCATGGTCCAAACACACTAAGACAGTCATGAAGAGGGCACGACAAAGCCTATTCCCCCACAGGAGACTGAAAAGATTTGGCATGGGTCCTCAGATCCTCAAAAAGTTATACAGCTGCACCATCGAGAGCATCCTGACTGGTTGCATCACCGCCTGGTATGGCAACTGCTCGGCCTCCGACCGCAAGGCACTACAGAGGGTAGTGCGTAGGGCCCAGTATATCACTGGGGCCAAGCTTCCTGCCATCCAGGACCTCTATACCAGGCAGTGTCAGAGGAAGGCCCTCAAAATTGTCAAAGACTCCAGCCACCCTAGTCATAGACTGTTCTCTCTGCTATTGCACGGCAAGTGGTACCGGAGTGCCAAGTCTAGGTCCAAAAGACTTCTCAACAGCTTCTACCCCCAAGCCATAAGACTCCTGAACAGCTAATCATGGCTACCCGGACTATTTACACCCCCAGCCCATATTTTTACGCTGCTGCTACTCTGTTAATTATTTATGCATAGTCACTTTAACTCTACCCATATGTACATATTACCTCAACTACCTCAACTAGCCGGTGCCCCCGCACATTGACTCTGCACCAGTACCCCACTGTATATATAGCCTCCCTACTGTTATTTTATTTTACTTTTTTTCTCAACACTTTGTTGTTGTTGTTGTTTTATTTTACTTTTTTTATTAAGAAATAAATGCATTGTTGGTTAAGGGCTGTAAGTAAGTATTTCACGGTAATGTCTACACCTGTTGTATTCGGCGCATGTGGCAAATAAAATTTGATTTAATTTGAAAAACAAGAAACAAACAACACAAAACACTCTATAGTGAATACACATCTATTACAGTGTAACCCTTCCTTCAACACATTTCTCACATTGCACCACTCCCCTCTACAGGACTCATGTGAGAAGCCGGCATATTATGAGAAGACGGTGACACTGTCCAAGGAGCCTCATCACTCCCTGGGGATGACGGTGGCAGGGGGCATGTCCTCCCGCGGCTGGGATCTCCCTGTCTATGTCACTAACGTGGACCCCAACGGAGTGGTGGGACAGGAGGGATCCATCCGCAAAGGTACAGCCTGGTGATAAACCTTCTACTGTACATCACACACAGTCTCACACACACTCAAAGTCCCACACACACTTTGCCACACACACCCACAGAGTCCACCACACACTCATACCATATACACTCACACACTCTCACTCAGGCATATGGTAGATTAAAATCCAATGTTCCAAGAACGGAGTTTAGCTCATATTTCCTTGAATTTCTCCAATATTGACATGATAGTTTAGTTTCTCTGTTCCGTGCAGTCCCTGCTGGTCTCCACGATTCCAGCCTGCTGGTCTCCACGATTCCAGAGTTGGTACTGCAGACAGGCTTCATTTGTCATGAGTTGTGCATGTGACTTGTCCCTTGTGTAGAACAAACTGATTGAGATAAACAGTCAGACTCGTGTTTCATTACCAAGGTTATTTATCCAACAGGAAACACAGAGGTAGTGCTGCGGTTCAGGGCTCGCCAAATTGAGTCTAACACACATACATACAAACACACACACACACACACCATGCTCAAATTTGATTAAGTAAGTTCCAGAGGAAATGACAGGCTCCACTTTATCAGCTCATTATACAAAATCAGTCAGCTCTGAAATAGACCAAACACAAACAGACGCACTCCCAAAATGATTGGATACACTTGTGGCAGGCCTGTTATGGCTACGTACTGCAGTGTGTGAAAGTATAGGTGTGTTTGTGGGTGTGTGGGATGTTGGAGCATCTGAGGGAGCTCTCTGGTCCAGACCAGACATCCAGAACCTCCTGCTGATCCTAGGGATCCACCTCAGATAACCACAGTATAGAGAGACCAGATTTAAGAGAGACCAGATTTAAGAGAGACCAGATTTAGAGAGACCAGATTTAACCCCGCTCTACCTGTCTGTCTGAACACACAATCCCCTACATCTGTGTGTGTGACTAGCTAGGTTTCCATCCAATTGGCGACAGATCTTAATGCGAATATTCTAAAATCTGCGTAAAGAAAATATGTGCATTTTCCCACCAGTGGTGTGTTTCCACCAAACTGACTTGTTGCAGATAGAAGGTACGTGATGACGTAGTGCACACAAAATGTAATTTCTCACTTGTGTTCATGTACCGAATAAAAATCGGTGTGTTTCCATCGCATTTTAAACTCTACCTATAGTTTTGTCATACAAACTGTTGTGTTAAATAGCAAATGTGCAGACTCTGGTCTTGGCACACGTGCACTAGCCAACAGCTTGCAGATACAGTGTAGGTAGGCTAGTCTACATGATGAGATAATTATTGATAATATTTGTATTTGTCAAATGGCAGTCAAGCATTGATCATCATGACACCAGAATAAGACCCTAGGTATTTATTGGAAAGCAGCATCAAGATCATCACCGTGCACTTTCACCATCCTGTTTTTATTTAACCTTTATTTAACCAGGCAAGTCAATTAAGAACAACTTCTTATTTACAATAACGCCCTGCAAGAGGCAAAATGCCTCCTGTGGGGACAGGGGCAAAAAAAATACAATGTAAGACAAAACAGACAGACAGAAAACACTGGCAACAGCACAAATACAACAGCAAACAAACTGTGGATGTGTGTGACGTAAAACAACATGCTTCCTTACATAAGGCAACGCAAACTAGTGACAACTAGAAACAACTACATGTCTCAATAACCTGTTCATCTATTTGAACTCCTCCAGGGACCCCAGGTCCTGAAGTTTTAGGTTGGCTTGGAGGAAATTCCAAGACCAGGGGGCTGAGTAATGAAAGGACCTTTTTCCATGCTCAGTTCTAACTTTCGGGACTCGTAGCATAAAACTAGATTGAGATCTGAGCTTGTATGTGTTTTCATTTCGAGCTAGAAGAGAGAATAGATAAAATGGAACTTTTCCTAAAATGGCCTTATAAATAAGAACGTACCAGTGTTTGAGCCTGCGTGTTGCTAGGGATGTCCACCCGACAGCACTGTAGAAATCACAATGGTGAGTTAGACGTCTCTGATTGGTGACAAAACGAAGGGCTGCATGATACACAGTCAAGAGCCTTCAGTGTAGCTTGAAGTTTGCACATAAATAGTATCACCATAGTCCAACACAGAGAGAAAAGTACAACAAATCAACTCCTTTCTGGCGGCAAAGGAAAAACAAGCTTTGTGCCGGTAATAAAACCCAATACGCAGCTTGAGTTTCCTGACAAGATTCTCTACATGGGTGGTGAAGCTTAACTTCTGATCCACCCAAACGTTCAGATATTTGTAGGTTTTGACTTGCTCTACTGAATGTCCTTCCAAGGTAGCAATTACATGGTTTTCAGAGTGTTTAGTATTGGAAAATACCATGCATTTTGTTTTAGAATTCAGAACAAGCTTCAAATTATACAGATTCTGTTGATGTTAAAAGGTGTTTGAGCTTTTTCAAAAGCCAAAGTCAAACTGCTGCCACTTGAACAGGGCACAGTGTCATCCGCATAAAAATGTACATCAGCTGTCTCAATATATCTCCCAATGTTGGTGATATCATTAACAGGGACCTAAAATGTATCCTTGCGGCACACCCGAGCACAACTCTACTGTGTCTGACTTAACACACTGGGTTCACTCCAGAGCATAACCAGTAATCCCAACACACTTCTATCTTTGCACAAAGACAGTATGGTTCACAGTGTCAAACGCCTTTGACAAGTCTATGAATACATCCAGGGCACATTGAACATCATTCAAAACCTTCAAAGTTGGGGTGTCCTGACATGGCCATACTCGTATTTGTAATCGTATCCGTAAATTGACAGTTGATAGTCGGATCGGATGATACTCGTGATCGGAAAAAACTTAAACATTTTAATATGCCTAAGTAGATGTTGGCAAAATACCTCCCTGCGCCATTATAGACCAAACAAGCTGCAGATTAGGAGCCGCAGAGGTGTGTGTGTCCGACCTGTTTCTGTGTCCTCAACTTGCAGCGGGCAGACAAGTTTGCTATCAGTCAGAATGCACGTCGGCATTTCATCTTTTTTCCCTACCCTTGCCCTGATTGTTAGATATTATGAACATTGATAGCTTGATAGCAAACTTCTTCCTTGCCATTTGATTTATTATAGTTGCAGGCTAGCAGGAGGCAGCAGCAGTCTGAATGATCAGACCGAAACAGAGAAGTGAAAGTGATCGGGTGAAATTATGACGCGAGTGGACAGATAAATACAGCTTCACTCTATCCAATCAGAGCAGCAGGATCAACGTACAGTCCGCCCTTCTCTTTACAGGCAGGCAAACTAGCCACTAGAGTTATTTAGACCACGTAGCACCTCACTTGACTGACATGAGAAAGACGCTTGCGTGCTGGCACCAGAAAATCAGTGTTTCTCAGATCACGGATAATTACAAAAAATACTCTGATCATAATCATATCCTGAAAATTGCCCATATCCGTTACCATACCCGTTTTGTCCGACTACTCGGCACACCTCTACCACACACCATATCATCGTGTAACTCCAAGTTTACTTCGATACGATGGTTATTATATAATTATTTGAGCTTCCACTGCCATTCACACATTATTAATTTTACGGACACCAAAAGATGCCACCATGTCGAACAAACAAATTATCTGTCAGCATTTATCAAATTGTACTGAAACAAACCACATTTTCATCCAGTTTTGGGATGGAAACAGGTTATGTGTGAGGAGAGTGATGATGTCAGTCTGATATTCAGTGTGGTTATCCCATGACCTTCATCAAAGGCATGATTCTGAGTGTATTCCCATGCATATCAGTTCTGTGAATATGTTTGTGTATACAGCTGTCTACATAAGAATTATCCCGATTTTAACTGAGTATCTGCATAGTGCATCCTAATCAAAGGGGTGGATGTCGTCCTTTGAGTAAGCCTCCTCTACAGATGGCAGCTGGCTGTGCAGTGCTGTACTGTCCAAGCCCACCTTGATTATCTGGGAGGTATTTCATGTGCAGGTGGCTCTTTGTTCCCACTGCTTTGTGTTCCTGCGGGAGGTGATTGAATATTCAATAGGCAGACGGGATGAGTCCTTGTCCCTGGGAAGTTTAGCTTTTGAAAGGTGTCAGAATGGACATTAGTCAGGGTAACAACACTGTGCTGAGTGGTGCCGTCTTCTGTCCTCCCATCTCCCTGCAGGTGACATCCTGCTGAACGTGAACGGGCTGGATCTGACAGGGGTGACGCGGGGCGAGGCTGTGGCCAACCTGAAGAACACCACCTCCCCTGTGGTGCTCAAGGTCCTGGAGATAAGGCCTCCAGATGAAATCCAGCAAGAGTGCCCCTCGCCCCCCTGCCTCTCGCCCTCGCCCACCAACAGCACCAAGCAGAGCCTCGCCACGCTGACACACACCGATGACTACTCCCCATTGTGGGTGTCATGGCTGCAGTTGCCCAGGTAAGTGGCAGGACCCCTCCAGCTAGCCTTCTCTTATCTCAGTCTCTCTCTCTCTCCTCCCCTCTCTGCCCTGACCAGCTGAGGCGTTGACAAGGGCCAACTGTGAGAGGAGGAGAGGAAGAATGCTAATTATATACACTACATGCCAAGGTTTAGAACTCAGTCTGAACACGGTGGTACTGTTGCCCAGACACCAATACTTGTTTGGCATATTCTTAAGCCCTGTTTGACAGACAAACATACAGTGCCTTCAGAAAGTATTCATACCCCTTGACTTAATCCACATTTTGTTGTGTTACAGCCTGATTTTTTTTTTTAATGTCACCCATCTACACACAATACCCCATAAAGACAAAATGAAAATATGTTTTTAGAAATGTTAGCAAATTTATTAAAAAAGAAATATAGAAATGTTTTCACACCCCTTTGCTATGACACTCTAAATTGAGCTCAGGTGCATCCAATTACAACTTAATTGGAGTCCACCTGTGGCCAATTCAATAGTTTGGACATGATTTAGAAATAAACACACCGATCTTTATAAGGTCCCACAGTTGACAGTGCATGTCAGGATGCCCTGGTGACAGTTAGTACAGAGATAGCCAAGGCCCTGACAATAAAAGAGGTGATGAGTGTTTTGTTTATTTTGACATTGAGAAAGCGGTTAACTGATTATGTGTCAGTGTATGCGGCCGAGTTGATGGCCATGATTATAGGTTTGAGATGGGTGGAGGAGGTGAAACCACTCAGAGTATTGATCTGCTCTGATTCGGAAAGATTTCTGGCTCCCAGGTGTCTTTTATACAGGTAATGAGCTGAGATTAGGAGCACACTCTTAAAGGGAGTGCTCCTAATGTCAGTTTGTTACCTGTATAAAAGACACCTGTCCACAGAAGCAATCAATCAATCAGATTCCAAACTCTCCACCATGGCCAAGACCAAAGAGCTCTCCAAGGATGTCAGGGACAAGATTGTAGACCTACACAAGGCTGGAATGGGCTACAAGACCATCGCCAAGCAGCTTGGTGAGAAGGTGACAACAGTTGGTGCGATTATTCGCAAATGGAAGAAACACAAAAGAACTGTCAATCTCCCTCGGCCTGGGGCTCCATGCATTCACCTAGTGGAATTGCAATGATCATGAGAATGGTGAGGAATCAGCCCAGAACTACATGGGAGGATCTTGTCAATGATCTCAAGGCAGCTGGGACCATAGTCACCAAGAAAACAATTGGTAACACACTACGCCGTGAAGGACTGAAATCCTGCAGCGCCCGCAAGGTCCCCCTGCTCAAGAAAGCACATATACATGCCCGTCTGAAGTTTGCCAATGAACAATTGAATGAATCAGAGGAGAACTGGGTGAAAGCGTTGTGGTCAGATGAGACCAAAATGGAGCTCTTTGGCATCAACTTAACTCACCGTGTTTGGAGGAGGAGGAATGCTGCCTATGACCCCAAGAACACCATCCCCACCGTCAAACATGGAGGTGTTTTTCTGCTAAGGGGACAGGACAACTTCACCGCATCAAAGGGATGATGGACGGGGCCATGTACCGTCAAATCTTGGGTGAGAACCTCCTTCCCTCAGCCAGGGCATTGAAAATGGGTCGTGGATGGGTATTCCAGCATGACAATGACCCAAAACACACGGCCAAGGCAACAAAGGAGTGGCTCAAGAATAAGCACATTAAGGTCCTGGAGTGGCCTAGCCAGTCTCCAGACTTTAATCCCATAGAAAATCTGTGGAGGGAGCTGAAGGTTCGAGTTGCCAAACGTCAGGCTCGAAACCTTAATGACTTGGAGAAGATCTGCAAAGAGGAGTGGGACAAAATCCCTCCTGAGATGTGTGCAAACCTGGTGGCCAACTACAAGAAACGTCTGACCTCTGTGATTGCCCACAAGGGTTTTGCAACCAAGTACTAAGTCATGTTTTGCAGAGGGGTCAAATACTTATTTCCCTCATTAAAATGCAAATCAATTTATAACATTTTTGGACATGCGTTTTTTTGTTGTTGTTATTCTGTCTCTCACTATTCAAATAAACCTACCATTAAAATTATAGACTGATCATTTCTTTGTCAGTGGGCAAACGTACAAAATCAGCAGGGGATCAAACACCTTTTTCCCTCACTATAGGTAGGTCGTGACTGGCCTCACACTCCAGTACAGTAGGTGTCGGTGTATGTACCTTAAAAATTGGATGTGATCCACCGACCAAATTCCAAAGAAGAAGAAGTGCACGTCAGAGCAGAAACTATACTATGAAGTCCAAGGAACTCTCAGTATATCTCAGAGATAGAATTGTGATGAGGCATAGATCTGGGGAAGGGTATAAAACAATTTATATAGTGTTGAAAGTTACCAAGAGCACAGTGGTCTCCATCATTGGGAAATTGAAAAAATATGGAACTACACACTGTCTAGAGCTGGTCGTCCGACCAAACTGAGCAACCGGGCAAGAAGGACCTTGGTCAGGGAGGTGACCAAGAACCCAATGACCACTCTGACTGAACTACAGAGTTCCTTGGCCGAGATGGGAGAACCTGCCAGAAGGACAACCGTCTCTACAGCACTTCACCAATCTGGGCTTTATGGGAGAGTGGCCAGATGGAAGCCACTCCTGAGAAAAAGGCATGACTGCACGCCTGTTGTTTGCAAAAAGGCACGTGAAAGACTCAGCGCACAAGACAAACGATTCTGTGGTCTGATGAGACAAAACTCTTTGGCCTGAATGCAAAGCTCTATGTCTGGAGAAAACCAGGCTAACACCATCCCTACTGTGAAGCATTGTGGTGGCAGCATCATGCTATCGGGATGCTTTTCAGAGGCAGGGACTGGGAGACTGGTAAGGGAACAATAAATGGAGCCAAATACAGGAAAATCCTAGATGAGAACCTGCTTCAGAGTGCAAACGACCTTAGACTGGGGTGAAGATTTACGTTCCAACAGGACAATGACCCCAAGCATACAGCCGAAACAACACTGGAATGGCTTCAGAACAAGAATGTGAAAGTCCTCGAGTGGCCTAGCCAAAGGCCAGACTTGAATCCCATTGAAAATCTGTAGAAAGGCTTGAAGATTGCTGTTCACTGCCGCTCCCCATCGAATTTAAGAATTTGAGAAAATCCCCAAATCCAGATGTGCGAAGTTGATACAGACATACCCAAGACGACTCAAAGCTGTAGTCGCCGCCAAAGGTGCTTCTACAAAGTATTGACCCAGGGTTGTGAATACTTATGTAAATGAGATTTTTATGTATAACATTTTCAATAACTGTTCACAAAAAATATCTAAATACATGTTTTCTCTTTCATTATGGGGTATTATGTTTAGATCGGTGAGAAAAAAAATCTATTGAATCCATTTTGAATTCAGGTTGTAACAAAATGTGGAATAAGTCAAGGGGTATGAATACTTTCTGAAGGCACTGTACTTAATGAGCTAATGAACATGTCTTGTTATTTGAGTGAGGGCCTCAATGAAAAGCACAGGCCAACAACTAAGGGAGGGTACAAAGACATCTCAGGATGTACAGGCCACATTACAAGGCCAATATCGGAGAGAAGGGGAGATGGAGGTTGATGACATAATGATGAATAGACACTACTGTATACAGCGTCAGGCCTTCTCTCCATGGCCTTCATTGTCTCTTGCTCATCCTCATCATCACATTCCAGTCTCAGACATTGGTCACTCTGACACATTCTCCACCACGTCCCCCTGTCATCCCTCCCTCCTCCTTCTTTCTCCTCCTCATGCTCATTTAGGCAGCTTAGGATATGAGTATGACAGTCACCGTTCCAACTTTAAAGGGATTTGCTCATGAGACAAGCCTTCCCATCTCTCGCTCTCCTTCTCCTGGGGTGCGATGTGTGGCAGAGGTGTTGGATTGAGGTATTAATAAACCCCTCCAGAGGTCAGACTGGCAGAGCGAGGGGTATTCCCGTTTCTCATCAGATCTGCCACTGCTGGTATAAAACTGCTCTTACTGTAAAAAGTAATAATTCTGGAGTAGCTAAAACTCAATTTCTCCCCAACCAGCAAAATGTATAAGAAAAGTGAAAACCAACTAGTGAATCACCATGGGAATTCAGTCCAGACGGGTGACGGTTCTAACAGGATTTGAATGCAATTTTCACTCACCTCTGGGCAGTGTGAGAGACTGATACTAAAATCGCTCCCTTCTCAGTACTGTATTTTCACAGCTCTGCCTTACCTGTGGGGAAAAATCATTTCCCCATTCTCGTTGGACAATGGCCAAGCAGTTGTATTTTCTGACAGACTTCCATTGGACTCTGCAATCTCACTGCTGCATATGTGCACACAGCACGGGCTGGGCACACATGTGGATGCTGGCAGCAGTCTAGAGATTTCCTCATCTCCCTTTTTGTCCTTTGCAGGCACCTGTACTGCTGCAAAGACATTGTGCTGCGCCGGAGTGCCTCTGGCAGCCTAGGCTTCAGCATCGTGGGGGGGCAGGAGGAGGTCAACTGCAATCAGTCCTTCTTCATCCGCTCCATCTTGGAGGGCATGCCAGCCTACAACGATGGCAGGATACGGTACAGACTACAAAACCTAGGACACACACTGGCCAAAGAACCTATAGAACTGGCTAACGCATGTCTGCTGAATCTTCTATTTTTCTGTGACAGATTATATCCAGTATTGACCTAATCATTACAGTATTCTTGTATTTACACATTGCAAGCGTTGCTCTATGGGCCTCCTGTACTTGACTGAGTCCATCTCTATGGTTGTTAAACTCTGCATTAACCCCCCCTCTCTCACTCTCTGTGTGTAGGTGTGGGGACATTCTGCTGGAGGTGAATGGAAAGAGTACGTGGGGGATGACACACACAGCCCTGGTGCGTCTGCTGAAGGAGCTGCGAGGCAGAATCACCCTGACCATCGTGTCCTGGCCAGGCAGCCTGTTGTAGCCCCGCTGCAGTCACGCATCCATGGGGAGGGGCCAACACTGACCAAGGAATGTGGGCGGAGCTTTAGACTGGCTTACAACGCTGAGCCCTACCTTATGGGACGGGGCTTACACTAGTGATGTAGCTATGGAAGGCGGACCTTAGAACCCTGACTCCCGATGGACAGCTGAGATTTTGCCAGGAGTTCAGAGGGGGCCAACCAACCATGTGACAGGAGTTTGACCAAACCCCCCCAAAGACACTGAGCTGTGAGGATGTGGATCTGTGGCCCTACCCCTGGGATATATGGAGCAATCTGATTGGAGGAGAGTCTTGTTCTCTGACACAGCATCCAATAAGGGGGGTGGGTGGTTGGGAGGGGAAACAAGTTGCCAATTAGTTCTATGTTAGAGTATGCATTTAATTGGACTCGCATTTCTATACTGTAACTGTTGGATGTCAAAAAAAAAATACTGATTCAAGTACTATGTTTCTCTTTTCACGTTTGTTTGATGGCCTTTGAATATAGGCTTCGTTACGTTTGTACTGACAGTGGCTTTAATCTTCATCTGTTGAGACTGAGGACACATTGCCAAGTAGTTGTCTGTGTTGAGATGTTTTCAGAAGCTGTTGCTAAATTATCAAACCACTGGCAAAAGTATAGTAAAAAATAAAGTAAAAATGTGTTCATAATCTGTTAAAAGTAATATTAAGGTGAAATCGTGGAGCCTTACGGATTTTCCTACTTTTGAGAAGAAAAAAACTAACTGACTTGGTTTCTGTGTGTGTTTCCGTGGATGAGTCTGGTCAAGGGCCATCTAACGCAGTTCTCTCTCACGCTTCGGCCTGTGTAGTATATCTGATGGTACCTTTGGTAAAATAATCAATAAAGTCATTTGAAAAGGACACTTGTCAGAGCTTTGGCAAGGGTTGGGGGTTTGGGTTCACGTTAAATTACCTGGGATAAGATATATATTTAACACAGCTCACTCAAATTTGAACCATTCAACTGAGGTCCAGTCAGCTCCTTTATCCAAACATATCTCTTAAATTATAAATAAATGAAACAAACACGTCTCTCAGGTGAGTCAAAATATACAAGTTGTATACAACGTATACATAAAACAATGCTTTGGGTTTTTCACCTTCAAAGTGAACTGAAATATATTAATAGAGCAGTCCAGTCTCTGATATGTTAAACAAAATGCCTGAGGGTCACACCGGGTCCTCCTATTGGCTGGTGAGAGGGACAGAGAGTTACTCTGTGGGCTCTGATTGGTTCTCCTGGTCAGCAGAGAGTTCCTGGCTGGGCTCCTTGTCCTCTCTGCTCCTCTTGACCTTCTTGTGTTTGTGTCTCCGATGACTGTCCCCCTCCTCACTCTCATGTCTCCTCCTGCTGCTACTGTTAACACAGACAGACAATCACTGGTTACTTACACTGTCTACCTGAACATGTCTGTGTCTACTGTGTGTCTACTAGAGTGTGTCTGTGTGGGTGTGTGTTGTACCTGCTTGAGGACTTGTGTCTCCCCTCCTCTTTGTCTCGGTGTCTCTTCTCTCGGTGTCTCTCTTCTTTCTCTCTGCTGGATCTCTCGTGGTGGTGTCGCTCGTATCCTCTCTCCCCATAGTCCCTGTGCCGGTGCCGCTCCTCCTCACTGCAACAACTCACTGGTCAATAACCACAAACACTGCTTCCTCACTGGACGTCGCTGAAACATTGAGCCTTCTTATTGGACAATGGATACTACAGTGGCAAAAATGGTGATAAGCTAAGTAACATGATTCTATTGGCCCATTTTCTCTGCTCTCTCCTCGTGTTTTGCAGGGTCGTTTCAGTAGAAAGGCTGGACCCAGACGATAGCAGCACCTTTACCCAAAGCTCTGTTTGGCTTTAGTTTAATAGCATGGTGTGGTGCAGCCTTTGAGGAACACAAAGCCCACCCCTGTCCTCCTGTGACCTTTAGATGAAAGCATCCCCCCTCTCCTCTGGACTCAACAAACAGCTCCATTATTTACTGGAGGACTTCTGGTTCCACAGGGCCATGCTCTTTCACACCATCATTCATTAACTCACACCTTCCCTGCCCTCTCACGACCTTAGCGGTCTCTTTGTCACACAGCACACACGCATCCAAACACACGGTGGAGGGGTATTTGTTATGCTGCAGAGCTGCAGGTAGGACACAGTGACAGCAGCTGAAACAGACATGCACCTCCAGTCTTCTAAAGCAGGGGTAAAAAAATATATATATGTCAAGGGCTGGGCGGTATACCGTATTTTACTATATATCAGTATTGATGCATGGACGGGTTTGAGTTTTTACTTTAATTTCTATAACAGTATTTCAATGTTGGGTTTGTTAGATGTGATATCCAACTCCGGCGCGTATAATGTCTGTATATTCTACTTTGTCTTTTCTTAGAAAGGTGTTGCTACAATAATTTGTGTTAGCCGCTAATGCTAATTGCTAGTTGTCTGGCTAGGAGAGTTGGGCCAGTAACCGAAGGTTGCTGGATCGAATCCCCGAGCTGACAAGGTACAAATCTGTAATTCTGCCCCTGAGCAAGGCAGTTAACCCACTGTTCCCCGGGCGCCGATGACGTGGATGTTGATTAAGGCAGCCCCCCGCACCTCTTTGATTCAGAGGGGTTGGGTTAAATGCGGAAGACACATTTCAGTTGAATGAATTCAGTTGGTATCCCCCTTTCCCTTAGCTAGCTTTGTAAATGTATGAAGAGTCAGAGCAAACGTAGCTAGCTAGCTAATACTGCCTGCTACCAGTGCTGGTGTAGGCCTAGATAAGCATGTTTGTGCAACGGTATCTTATCAGAGGAATAAGCGAAGGATGAATATGTTAGCTAGCTACATGTAGTAAGAAAACATGTAAGGTAACATCTAATTAAGGTCACCTGGAAACACTGACCAACACTTTGATTCCTACCCTGTCAATAATGCCGTTGTCATGTCAAACAACAATTTATTTAAGGTGCTGCCCACTATATTCCAACTATAGAATTAGAATAATCATTATATTTCCATGATTCCAACAGTTCACCAATTAACTAGGCCTATATTTTTTGTCCATATCATGCTGCGTGGCACAGTCTGGAAATTATAATAAAAGTGCAGGAAATGCATAAATTGATAAATGCTGAAAATGTGTTTTGTTTGGAGTTGGATTGAACAGTATAAATGGAGAAAGCCCCATTGAAATCACTTATAATTTGTGTTGCCACCCTAGGGTCATGAACTACACAAAGCATATTTAGAACGTATATTATTCAAAAACATAAAATACGGTCAAAAATATCGTGATATGATATTTTGTCCATATCGCCCAGCACTATCAAAGACCCCAAAATATGATTTAGCCCCTGGAAGAGGACCCCTTTAAAAAAAAAAAAATCACAAGACATCATCTCACATTTTCTGCTGATCCCCTTATGCCCCCTTCAGACCCGTTTGAAAATCCCTGTCCTAAAGGGCTGAAATCTCACAGAGCACAAGTGGTGGTTTCTATAATAATGACTACAGAGAAGAGAATACGCATGTGTATTGGATTTCAAAATAGATGAGAGCAAGGAACTTTCAGTCCATAGGACTACGTAGTAGTAACGTGTGAAGACGGGGTTGCAGTGTATAGCTGCCGTTTTACAGGCTCCTGACAAATTCTACTATTTTGTGTGTTTTTTTCCCGCTGGTCTTAACTTTTTAGTACATAATATTCCCGCCATCATTTCCTATGACCGAAAACAGCTTCTGGACATCAGAACATATATCTACTTCAACGAGTCGGCAGCTGTGGATGTACTGCTCACTCCGGCCCTAATCCCCGGGACCCGAAAGAGGACGAGTATAAACCCCCTCTACCCTCCGTTCAACTGGCGTACGTACAATCACTAGATAACAAAATGGACAAGATCCATTCGAGATGATCCTATCAACGGGACCTGAAGAACTGTAATATCCTATGTTTCTCGGAGTTGTGGCTGAACAAGGACATGGATAATGTACATCTAGCTGGTTTTTCTATGCACTAAGACCGCACTAAACGAGCTGTATAGGGCCATAAGCAAACAAGAAAATGCACATCCAGAGGCAGCGCTCCTAGAGGCCGGTGATTTTAATGCAGGGACTCCGAAATCCGTCTTACCAGCATGTCACCTGTGCAATTAGAGGCGATAAAGACTCTAGATAACCTTTACTCCACACAAAGAAACGCATACAAAGTTTTGGCAAATCAGACCATAACTCGATCTTCAGAATTCCTGCTTACAAACAAAAATTCAAACAGGAAGTACCAGTGAAGCGCTCAATACAGAAGTGGTCCGATGAAACGGATGTATATATGTGGACACCTGCTCGTCGAACATCTCATTCCAAAATCATGGGCATTCATATGGAGTTGGTCCCCCCTTTGCTGCTATAACAGCCTCCACTTCTAGGAAGGCTTTCCACAAGATGTTGGAAAATTGCTGCGGGGACTTCCATTCAGCCACAAGAGCATTAGTGAGGTTGGGCACTGATGTTGGGCGATTAGGCCTGGCTCGCAGTCGGCGTTCCAATTCATCCCAAAGGTGTTTGATGGGGTTGAGGTCAGGGCTCTGTACAGGCAAGTCAAGTTCTTCCACACCAATCTCAACAAACCATTTCTGTATGGACCTCGCTTAAGATATCCCTTCACTGGAACTAAGGGGCCTAGCCCGAACCATGAAAAACAGTGCCAGACAATTATTACTCCTCTACCAAACTTTACAGTTGGCACTATGCATTGGGGCAGGTAGCGTTCTCCTGGCATCTGCTAAACCCAGATTTGTCCGCCAGACTGCCAGATGATGAAGCGTGATTCATCACTCCAGAGAATGAGTTGTCACTGCTCCAGAGTCCAATGGCAGCAAGCTTTACACCACTCCAGCCTACGCTTAGCATTACGCACAGTGATCTTAGGCTTGTGTGGGGCTGCTTGGCCATGGACACCCATTTCATGAAGCCCCTGACAAACTGTTATTGTGCTGAAGTTGCTTCCAGAGGCAGTTTGGAACTCTGTAGTGAATGTTGCAACCGAGGACAGATTATTTTTTATATGTTACGCGCTTCAGCACTCGGTGGTCCCGTTCTGTGAGCTTGTATGGCCTACCACTTCGCGGCTGAGCCGTTGTTGCTGCTAGACGTTTCCACTTCACAATAACAGCACTTACAGTTGACCGGGGAAGCTCTAGCAGGGCAGAAATTTGACGAACTGACTTGTTGGAAAGGTGGCATCCTATGACAGTGCCACGTTGAAAGTCACTGAGCTCTTCAGTAAGACCATTCTACTGCCAATGTTTCTCTATGGAGATTGAATGGCTGTGTGCTCGATTTTTTACACCTGTCAGCAACAGATGTGGCTGAAATAGCCAAATCCAGTAATTTGAAGGGGTGTCCACAACTTGGTATATATAGGTTATTCTTGTCTGTGCTAGCGAAACAATCCTGTAGCTTAGCATCCGCTTCATCGGACCACCTCCGTATTGAGCGTGTCACTGGTACTTCCTGTTTGAGTTTTTGCTTGTAAGCAGGAATTAGGAGGATAGAGTAATGGTCTGATTTGCCAATGAGAGGGCAACGGGGGGCCTTGTATGCGTTTCTGTGTGTGGCGTAAACGTGATCAAGAGTTTTGTGGCCTCTACTTGCACAGGTGACATGCTGGTAAAACATTTGTAAAACGGATTTCAGTTTCCCTGCATTAAAATCACCGGCCACAAGAAATGCTGCCTCTGGATGTGCATTTTCTTGTTTGCTTATGGCCCTATACAGCTCGTTGAGTGCGGTCTTAGTGCCAGCATCGGTTTGTTGTGGTAAATAGACTGCTATGAAAAATATAGATGAAAACTCTTGATAAATACACTGAACAAAAATATAAAACGCAACATGCAACAATTTCAAAGACTTGACTGAGTTACAGTTCATAGAAGGAAATCAGTCAATTTAAATAAATAAATTAGGCCCTAATCTATGGATTGCACATGACTGGGAATACAGATATGCATCTGTTGGTCAGATAGAGGTAGGGGTGTGGATCAGAAAACGAGTCAGTATCTGGTGAGACCACCATTTGCTCATGCAGTGCAACATCTCCTTCGCATAGAGTTGATCAGGCTGTTGATTGTGGCCTGTGGAATGTTGTCCCACTCCTCTTCAATGGCTGTGTGAAGTTCCGGGATATTGGCGGGAACTGGAACATGCTGTCGTACACATCGATCCAGAGCATCCCAAACAAGTAACATGTATTTTGTTTAAAAGCTCTGACGAAGGCAAAGAGAACAAGAAACACTTTTCAATGAGAAAGCAGAAATCCACGTAACTTATTTTTTACATACATTGGTTTTCTGACACGGCCAGTAAGACGGCTACTATCCACTGCAGTGCTATCTTACTAAAGTATTAGCGATACTATCTTAGTCCTCGATGCTCCGTTATTAAAATACATGTTTTGTTCCATGAAGTAATCCAACAATATGTACGCCGCCATCTTGTTTATTTCAAGCCTTAATAATAATAACATAATATGCCATTTAGCAGACACTTTTATCCAAAGTGACTTACAGTCATGTGTGCATACATTTTAACGTATGGTTGGTCCCGGGGATCGAACCCACTACCCTGGCGTTACAAGCGCCATGCTCTACCAAATGAGCTACAGAGGACCAAGTCTTCTCTCATTGATCGAGACAGGCGTCTGTCATTATGACATGTGGCACTTTCGGGTGGACCCACCTGTCTCAATCAATTTGAAAAAGATGGCAGTGTACCCAGTTGGATTACTTCATGTATCAAAATAGGGATTTATTTTAATAATGGAGCATTTTCTAAATTAAAACGGACCCCTTGCAACTGAACACAGATATTTTATGAGACTCCTGTTTCCATGAATCGAGGACGAAGATAGTATCACCAATACCAGGTTAGTTGAAACATTTCTGCCAACGTTTTGTATAGCCACACCTGTAACTACCAGTATAATGGTCCAACATTTTTGGGTTAAATCACATCATCTGGTGTTACAATCTGTAGCTAGTATTAAGAGTGATTAAAGCCAAACCAGAGGTGCGTTGAACAAGGGAAAACGTTCGCTAATGCTAGCTAACATATTAAAAAACAACTTGACAGAGATAGAGAGAGAGCGAGAGAGAATTGGAAAGGGCACTAGAACAGTCTGCAGCACCCGGCCTCACCCTACTTGAATCTGAAGTTAGATGTCTGCTGATGAGCTGGTGCTTCTGTCCCCAACCAAGGAGGGCTGTGAACGATCTGAGATACAAGGCAAGAAGGGCCTTCTACCAGAGAGAGAGCGAGCTACGGTTAAAGGACTCATTCAATATTTGGGCACTGGCAGTTATTCTATTACCAGTGGGAGTGCAGACCTGAGGGCCCATTTACAGTCTTCCACAGTTGTTAGCACTAACACACTTATACCCACTTCACACAGAGTCACTGTAACTGTGAATGAATAAGTGTGTGCTTCCTAGTGCAGGTTTAATACAGGAACAAATCTATGCGTGAGAATGAGCTATGTATCCCTGTAAGCCTGGGGAACAAGAATGTGTTTCCAAATTCAGTCTCCATTAACACTGAACAGATACAAACCACCTGTGTAGATGTGTCAGAAAGAGAAAGTGTGTGTAATATTTACATATTGATTACTATTATAACACTCAGAACACTAATACAATCCCTGTGTGTGTGTGTGTGTGTGTGTGTGTGTGTGTGTGTGTGTGTGTTGCCCTGCCAGCTGGAGAGAGGACAATCCCAGCCCCTCCATACTAGGCTACAGGGATGAGATGAGATCACATTCAGAGGACAAGTGTTCACCAAATGGCCAACCAGCTACCCAGGGCTGTCTGCATCAGGCAGAAGAGAGAGAGAGAAAATGTGCTAGTGAGTGTAAATGTGTGAGTGGTTGGTGTCTTTAGGAGGAGGTGAGTCTGACTGTTCTGTGTTGCATTAGCTAGTGTTAGCCTAGGTGCTAACTCCCAAACATGCCTGGCTGGTGGTCGTGCCAGAAGCTGGTGCCCAGAGAGGGCTGTCCCAGTCAGGCTGTGACTCAGAGTGTATCAGTTGTGCTAAGCAGAGCCCTTAAAGAGCAGACTGCAGCCAGAACACAGACCACTGACACCACTATGCAACCAGGGTGGCTATAGGCCAGAAGGGATGAGACTCTGCTGCCAACACACACACAGAAAATACATCACTCACTACTCAAAATAAATACCATTGGCACACCTCCATGTACCCAACATACATCATACCATGTGATCAGAATGCAGCGCGGGTGCACACACACACACCGGAGGTGTGAACACCCAGGGAGGGAGACAGGGAAACAGGAGCTCTCCATTGGGACCAGAACAGGACCACAGTGGCTTTAAGAGCAGTTCTGTCTGTCTGTTCCAGTGGGCCTGTCACACAAATGGCTGTCCCTCCCCGACTTCCTCCTCTCCTCTTGCGGTTACGTTACAGCCTCACAGCCCCTCTTCCCTCATATGACATGAAACACAGCTCTCCCCCATATGATCCATCGCATGACCTACTGCAGCAAAGAGTTGCGAACAGAAAGACACTAGATTAAGAAGAACATAACTAGTCATAGTGTTTTTAGGAGGGAGAATGACTGTGTGAATGTGTAGGGATTCTGTAAAGTAGGCACATTGAGATGGAGGGTTGGTAATTTGTCTGAGTTTATATAAATTAATGAGACATCTGGCTACTGGTCAACCTTAGTGTGCTGTGGAAATGTAGGGCAGGTGAGTGTGTGTGTAGATGGTCGACTCAGACTGTAGGGCAGTAGAGTAGAGCACTGAAAATAGGAACTAGGTGAAAATAGGAACTAGGATCACATGGGAGCTTGTCATCAGCTGGCCATCAGCAGAGAGCTACAGTACTGAGGGGACAGACAGGGCTCATCTAGGAGAGAACAGCAGAGACCCTGCGTAGATCTACCAGACTGGAAAACACTGGGACATTTGGTTGAAAGAATATAACTTTCTCTATGCCCTAGTTCAAATAGCGTTCTATCGCCGCACCGAACTAAAAAAATATGTAACTTTCTCTTTTGAAGAATGTCTTTGGAAGAACGGCGATAGAGTGCCATCTGAAACAAGAGTGCGCCTCGTCTGACTATGACGATAGTTCGGCAGCCTCTGCCGCTCTTTCGGCGCGGTGCGGGTGAAGCACGTCTTTGTTTCATGCAGTGCGCCAGAGCAGTTCTTCCACTGTCGGGAGAACTGGTAATGCTTGTTAATATACACTGAGTATACAAAAAATTAGGACCACCTTCCTAATATTGAGTTGCACCCCCTTGGTCCTCTGTAGCTCAGCTGGTAGAGCACGGCGCTTGTAACGCCAAGGTAGTGGGTTCGATCCCCGGGACCACCCATACACAAAAATGTATGCATGCATGACTGTAAGTCGCTTTGGATAAAAGCGTCTGCTAAATGGCATATTATTATTATTATTATTATTATTAACAGCCTCAATTTGTCAAGGCATGGACTCTACAAGGTGTCAAAAGCGTTCCACAAGGATGCTGGTCCATGTTGACTCCAATGCTTCCCACAGTCTTGTCAAGTTGGCTGGATGTCCTTTGGGTGGTGGACCATTCTTGATACACACGGGAAAGTGTTGAGCGTGTAAAACCCAGCAGCGTTGCAGTTCTTGACACTACCATACCCTGTTCAAAGGCACTTAAATCTTTTGTCTTGCCCATTCACCCTCTGAATGGCACACATACACAATCCATGCCTCAATTGTCTCAAGGCTTAAAAATCCTTCTTTAACCCGTCTCCCCTTCATCTACAATTATTTAACAAGTGACATCAATAAGGAATCATAGCTTTCACCTGGATTCACCTGGTCAGTCTATGTCATGGAAAGAGCAGGTGTTCCTAATGATTTGTACACTCAGTGTATGTTAATTGAATGCAAATAAAGGTTGCTTCTCTACCACACCCACAATGGAAGCACAATCATGGCCTCTGATTCTCAGGTGGAGGACTTCTGTGACAGGTCGCTGTTATGCCTGAAGTCGACCCAAAACCAACAAGTATGTCTGCTGCAGTGTTGAGAGCAATTGTATGAAACCAATCGGTACGTCAAGCAAAGCTCTTAACCGTGCCAGACATAAATTTGGCGTCTGAACTGTGCGTATCTTGGCAGCTCCTTTACTGACTGAGTGTGTTGTGATCTCTCCCCATTCCTCTTGTTGGCCCCTCTGCACCAGACAGCCTGTGTGTCTTGTAATATTTATTTCTCAGCTCTATTCTGCCCCCTGTTGCAACAGCTGTAGAGCAGACAACCAGGGGTTCCACCCACTACCCAACTCCAACCCGAGTGCCAGAGCCAGTACACGTCCCTATGCCCTGCCTCCACCCTCCTAACAATAGCACCTTGCAACCATTAAACCCCTCTAGTCTGAAGGACTGCAGTGTTGCTCTGCTGTCTATTCTGTCCTTCACTCTGATTTTCCTTCCTTCTCTCTCTCCCCCTTTCTCTCTGCCTGCTATACATGTGTGTGAGGGGAGGCCAGGCTGGGCTGGGCTGGCACCTACAGTACATCTGCACCCAGCAGCAAACGTACAGTTCCACGGATGGCAGCACTGGATCAGCGCAGTCCTGTCTGCACTGCCCAACAGTGGAGTCAATGGAGTGTGTGGTGGGAGGATGAGAGAGAGAGGGGCCCACAGGGAGGACAGATGGAGAGAGACTGAAGCATGGAGAGAGAGTGAAGACTTCCAGTCATTGCACTAATGCTAGTTAGCAATTGCGCTAGTGCTAGTTCATACTTCCTTCAAACCACACGCAGAGACATAAAAATGGTATCCACGAGTTCATCTGACACTATGGAAGTAGATAAAGGGCCTCATTTTTTTTCTTTAGGAGGTAGATCAGCTTTAATATTTCAGATAGATTGTAACTTCCATCAATGTAATTGTCTGCATTACTTCCAATCCCCCATACATTTTTTTTCTCGCATATATATATATATATATATATATATATATATATATATATATATATATATATATATATATATATATATATATATATATATATACATACATACATACATACATACACACACACAGTGGGGAGAACAAGTATTTGATACACTGCCGATTTTGCAGGTTTTCCTACTTACAAAGCATGTAGAGGTCTGTAATTTTTATCATAGGTACACTTCAACTGTGAGAGACGGAATCTAAAACAAAGATCCAGAAAATCACATTGTATGATTTTTAAGTAATTAATTTGCATTTTATTGCATGACATAAGTATTTGATACATCAGAAAAGCAGAACTTAATATTTGGTACAGAAACCTTTGATTGCAATTACAGAGATCATACGTTTCCTGTAGGTCTTGACCAGGTTTGCACACACTGCAGCAGGGATTTTGGCCCACTCCTCCATACAGACCTTCTCCAGATCCTTTAGGTTTCGGGGCTGTCGCTGGGCAATACAGACTTTCAGCTCCCTCCAAATATTTTCTATTGGGTTCAGGTCTGGAGACTGGCTAGGCCACTCCAGGACCTTGAGATGCTTCTTACGGAGCCACTCCTCAGTTGCCCTGGCCGTGTGTTTCGGGTCGTTGTCATGCTGGAAGACCCAGCCACGACCCATCTTCAATGCTCTTACTGAGGGAAGGAGGTTGTTGGCCAAGATCTCACGATACATGGCCCCATCCATCCTCCCCTCAATACGGTGCAGTCGTCCTGTCCCCTTTACAGAAAAGCATCCCCAAAGAATGATGTTTCCACAACCATGCTTCACGGTTGGGATGGTGTTCTTGGGGTTGTACTCATCCTTCTTCTTCCTCCAAACACGGCGAGTGGAGTTTAGACCAAAAACCTCTATTTTTGTCTCATCGGACCACATTACCTTCTCCCATTCCTCCTCTGGATCATCCAGATGGTCATTGGTAAACTTCAGACGGGCCTGGACATGCGCTGGCTTGAGCAGGGGGACCTTGCATGCGCTGCAGGATTTTTATCCATGACGGCGTAGTGTTTTACTAATGGTTTTCTTTGAGACTGTGGTCCCAGCTCTCTTCAGGTCATTGACCAGGTCCTGCCGTGTAGTTCTGGGCTGATTCCTCACCTTCCTCATGATCATTGATGCCCCACGAGGTGAGATCTTGCATGGAGCCCCAGACCGAGGGTGATTGACCGTCATCTTGAACTTCTTCCATTTTCTAATAATTGTGCCAACAGTTGTTGCCTTCTCACCAAGCTGCTTGCCTATTGTCTTGTAGCCCATCCCAGCCTTGTGCAGGTCTACAATTTTATCCCTGATGTCCTTACACAGCTCTCTGGTCTTGGCCATTGTGGAGAGGTTGGAGTCTGTTTGATTGAGTGTGTGGACAGGTGTCTTTTATATAGGTAACGAGTTCAAACAGGTGCAGTTAATACAGGTAATGAGTGGAGAACAGGAGGGCTTCTCAAAGAAAAACTAACAGGTCTGTGAGAGCCGGAATTCTTACTGGTTGGTAGGTGATCAAATACTTATGTCATGCAAAAAAATTCAAATTAATTACTTAAAAATCATACAATGTGATTTTCTGGATTTTTGTTTTAGATTCCGTCTCTCACAGTTGAAGTGTACCTATGATAAAAATTACAGACCTCTACATGCTTTGTAAGTAGGAAAACCTGCAAAATCGGCAGTGTATCAAATACTTGTTCTCCCCACTGTATATATATATACAGTGGGGAAAAAAAGTATTTAGTCAGCCACCAATTGTGCAAGTTCTCCCACTTAAAAAGATGAGAGAGGCCTGTCATTTTCATCATAGGTACACGTCAACTATGACAGACAAATTGAGAAAAAAAAATCCAGAAAATCACATTGTAGGATTTTTAATGAATTTATTTGCAAATTATGGTGGAAAATAAGTATTTGGTCACCTACAAACAAGCAAGATTTCTGGCTCTCACAGACCTGTAACTTCTTCTTTAAGAGGCTCCTCTGTCCTCCACTCGTTACCTGTATTAATGGCACCTGTTTGAACTTGTTATCAGTATAAAAGACACCTGTCCACAACCTCAAACAGTCACACTCCAAACTCCACTATGGTCAAGACCAAAGAGCTGTCAAAGGACACCAGAAACAAAATTGTAGACCTGCACCAGGCTGGGAAGACTGAATCTGCAATAGGTAAGCAGCTTGGTTTGAAGAAAATCAACTGTGGGAGCAATTATTAGGAAATGGAAGACATACAAGACCACTGATAATCTCCCTCGATCTGGGGCTCCACGCAAGATCTCACCCCGTGGGGTCAAAATGATCACAAGAACGGTGAGCAAAAATCCCAGAACCACACGGGGGGACCTAGTGAATGACCTGCAGAGAGCTGGGACCAAAGTAACAAAGCCTACCATCAGTAACACACTACTCCGCCAGGGACTCAAATCCTGCATTGCCAGACGTGTCCCCCTGCTTAAGCCAGTACATGTCCAGGCCCGTCTGAAGTTTGCTAGAGTGCATTTGGATGATCCAGAAGAGGATTGGGAGAATGTCATTTGGTCAGATGAAACCAAAATATAACTTTTTGGTAAAAACTCAACTCATCGTGTTTGGAGGACAAAGAATGCTGAGTTGCATCCAAAGAACACCATACCTACTGTGAAGCATGGGGGTGGAAACTTCATGCTTTGGGGCTGTTTTTCTGCAAAGGGACCAGGACGACTGATCCGTGTAAAGGAAAGAATGAATGGGGCCATGTATCGTGAGATTTTGAGTGAAAACCTCCTTCCATCAGCAAGGGCATTGAAGATGAAACGTGGCTGGGTCTTTTAGCATGACAATGATCCCAAACACACCTCCCGGGCAACGAAGGAGTGGCTTCGTAAGAAGCATTTCAAGGTCCTGGAGTGGCCTAGCCAGTCTCCAGATCTCAACCCCATAGAAATTCTTTGGAGGGAGTTGAAAGTCCGTGTTGCCCAGCGACAGCCCCAAAACATCACTGCTCTAGAGGAGATCTGCATGGAGGAATGGGCCAAAATACCAGCAACAGTGGGTGAAAACCTTGTGAAGACTTACAGAAAACGTTTGACCTGTGTCATTGCCAACAAGGGGTATATAACAAAGTATTGAGAAACTTTTGTTATTGACCAAATACTTATTTTCCACCATAATTTGCAAATAAAATTCATAAAAAATCCTACAAAGTGATTTTCTGGATATTTTTTCCTCAATTTGTCTGTCATAGTTGACGTGGTACCTATGATGAAAATT